ATCTCAGGAAATAATATCAATTGTTGACAAACAGGGTTCCGTGAAGTGAAAAAGCGAATGAACAGCAAAGGAAAAACACCGGATTTTGTCAAACACTTTCTACATGTACTGAAATGATCACGTGTTTCAGTACACTTAATAATCTGTCAAGCCATCCTTGCATCCAAGAACAAGAGGCAACTTAATCCTAGTGGATGATCTTTCTAAAGTGAAATTAAATTTATGAAGTTTTGAGGACTTCTGTATCTGTGCTCATCAAAGAAATGGGGTTTTAGTGTTAGCTTTTGCGTGTGTCCTTGTCTGGTTTTAGTGTTAGCTTTTGCGTGTGTCCTTGTCTGGTTTTAGTGTTAGCTTTTGCGTGTGTCCTTGTCTGGTTTTGGTGTTAGCTTTTGCGTGTGTCCTTGTCTGGTTTTGGTGTTAGCTTTTGCGTGTGTCCTTGTCTGGTTTTGGTGTCAGGGTAATGCTGGCTGTAGAAGCATTTTATCTGAGCTTTTCCTTCTATTCACAGGGGCCAAGAAGCTCTCCTTCCTTCTCTGTTTTATGGAATAGCGTGAGAAATATTTGTTAGTTTTTTTCTAATTTTTTCTTTAGAATTCAGAAGTGGATCCAACTGGTCTCTATCCATCCTAGTTAGGAGATTATCACGACATCAGTCTTGTTGCTGATTATAGTGAAATGGCTAAGGTGAGGCCATCTTGTCCTGTTTTGTTTCTGCCTCCACACTCCTCAGCCTTCCACACCGCACTCCCATGGCCACATCCTCCTTGGCAATGCTTTTGAGACTGTGACCCTGACCTATTAACCAAAATAGTTGATGTTTGAGCAGACTAAAACATAAAACTAAAATAACTAAGAGGAAGTGTAAGTCAAAAAATAATTGTCATGTGGTGTCTGGAAAATACCACTAAGCCCTGCAAGAAGACAGATGTTGCTCTGACCCCTTTCAAACACTGATGTAATTTTGTGGTTTTTATCTTTAGAGATGCTGTACCCTGAGCTTTGGCATGGAGAGACTTTGAGGCATGAGTCTGCTCTTGGTCACCCACTAATAAAAGGATTCATATATTTTAATCAACATAATTAGCATGGTTGTCAATAACTATCTTCTGTGGATAGTTTCATTAGATCTGTTTATATTGTTGATGTCTTGGTGAATCATGCATATACCTAGAAATGTATATACCTTATCAGTCACGTATATCTTAGAAATTTATTATTTCCTCTAGACTTCCAAATTTACTGGAGTTTAATCTTTCAAAATAATTCCTAACTATCATCCCTTACCCATATACCTTCTCCTGTGGCTGGAGGGCAGTGATAGTTTATGTTTCCTGGAACTAATATCAAGTTAAAGTCTATGTTCAGGTGTTCTCTACAGACCTAATTATAATTACTGCCTTCTCTTCAGTGCACACTAACACTGATAAAGGTCCGAGGTCATTTTAGGGGAGGAGCCATCGACTGTGTGCTTGTTTGGTGTTACCAGGGTGTTTCCTTGAGGAAGTCAACTGCCCTTCCCTGCAAACTGGCTCTTGTTTGGGAATCGGCTTTGACAGTTTTTATGTACTTGACCTGAATTTTTTCCTGTTTATAAAAATCAAGTGAGGAATCAGGAGGCTTATTTATACTATTTGCAGACATGGTCATTAATTAGCCAATCCAGTGGGTCTGTGGGGGTCACATTATCTTATCACTTTGACTCTGCTGTAGAGTATGATAACTGCGTTGTCATAGATTCAGTGGTTCTCATCATTCAATATTTGGAAGTCCTAATTCCCAACATGGTGCTATTGAGAGATGGGGACCTTTGGAAATTATTAGGTCATGTGGGTGGAACTTTCATCCACATAATTGGTGTCCTAGTACTAAGCCCAGAGAACTAGTTTGAAGACTACGTCTATATTTCAGCAGATCAACTCATCACCAAAAGTCAGGGAGTGGGGAGAAGCATGTTCTGAAGCTCCTGGCCCTGACTCCTGTCCAGCAATACCACGGGCTGGATACTGTTCCAGTATGGAATTTAGCCCCTCTGTCCACATGGGTCTGTCCTGGAAGGCGGGACTGCAGCTTTGCTAAGTTAAGGAGAATTGACTGTTATGCTAGATACTTCATTGCTGTATTTTATCATTTTATGTCCCCACAGTTATTTTCCTTTCCTTGTCTCACTTCCTTTTGGCCATTTTATTTTATTCATTCTTTGAGAATTTCATATATTTAGACAATATGTAAATATATCTATACAATAGTATTTTGATATCACCCACGTCATGCTCCTCTCCAAACTTCACTTCATCTTCTCCTTTCCTTCTTCCTCCTCTTTTCTTTTATAACCCACTGAGTTCAGTTAGGGCTGTTTGTCTGCATGTGGGTATAGAGCCATCCCCTGGAGCAGGTTCTCCAATTTGCATGGTGCTAATAAAAGAGCAGTTCTTATATTTTTAACACTTGCTGCCACCGTGTGGTAATCTTTCATTACTGTACTGGGGGGGGAGGATTCAACTACTTCTGACCAGAACTGGAACAAAACAGGGAACACTAGATGCAAAGATCTGAGACATGCATCCAGCACAGCTCATATGTGTCTCATAATAGCATGCATTATTTAAAATCCCATTCATCTACACATAAGCTAATTTGAGTAGTCGCCTATTTCTGATTCCAATCAAAGTGGGATGCATAACGACTCTGGAAACACATTGCCGATCCTGTTTCTTTACCAAAGTGGATTCTAGAAAAAAAAAAAAAATCAGCGCAGGAAGCTGGGCCTAATCCCCAGAAAAGTATCCCTTGTTAAAATCTCCCAGGAGATTTTCATTTTGTTCTAGAACTGACTGCATTGGCCCTAACAATTTTGGCTTTCCCTAAAGAAAAAAGAGGTTTTAAGAAGCAGAAGTTTGTTCAAGACAGATCTGTTGTAGCCTTCCCGCCGTGTCTCTTCCTCTGTTTGTCGTCACCCTACCCCATATCTGCTTACACTACCACTGCTTTTTATTGTTGTTCTTTTTTTTTTTTTCCAAGACAGGGTTTCTCTGTGGCTTTGGAGGCTGTCCTGGAACTCCCTTGGTAGTCCAGACTGGTCTCGAACTTACAGAGATCCGCCTGCCTCTGCCTCCCGAGTGCTGGGATTAAAGGCGTGCGCCACCAATGCCCGGCTATTGTTGTTCTTTTGAGACTGGGTTTCTCTCTGTAGCCCTGGCTGTCCTGGAACTCAGTCTGTAGACCAGGATGGCCTCGAACTCAGAGATCCGCCTGCCTCTGCCTTCTGAGAACTGGGACTAAATGCCTGCCTCACCAACACTGTTTTTAAATGATCCCACCAGCTTATACAATAAAGTAAGACCCTTGGTAAATTAATCTCAACTCGTATCTCCAGTCTCACAGTGGCATAAAAAAACATTGCCATCATGTTTTTGCTAAGACAGCCTTTTGTTTTACTGTAGCAATTATCTGCCACAATCAACTTAGACAGGGATACAGCCCATGGTGGTCACCTGGCCATCAGCTGGTGGTTCCCAGGTTGAGGGGATACAGCTCAGCGCGGTATGGAAAGCATAGTGGTAGGTCCAAGGATGCAAACCTTTGAAACGGATTCTTCTTACCTCACAGACTAAGAAGCAAACAGAACTTGGCTGGGCTAGAATTCTCAGGCTTCACCGCTACTGTCATCTAGGACTCATCCAAAGATTCAAAGCCTTAAAGAGCAATACCAGCTCGGGGCTGACCAATTGCCCAAACACCAGAGCCCGTGGGGGATATTGCACTTTAAAAACCACAACACCTTCTTTTGCATAACTTAACAGATTTGTCATTACTGTTGTCAACAAGGAACTCCCATTAGTCAGGATAGCCATTTTAATGCTACTAAAGGTTCCTTTTTTTTTTTCCTTTTCAAAAAGTGTTTCTACTCGGATGCATTTTATATTTTTCCCCCTATGTTGAAAATCAAATCCACAGGCTTGAAAATGCAGGTCACAACGCACATATGACCTCACAGACTGTGGCCGCATGCGCAGAGTCTGCGTGGGTCTGAACCAGACATGGTGGGGCCTAGAGATGAAAGGAGAGGTGGGCACATGCCTCCTTCCCTAACCCAAAAGCGACCCCAGGGACAGTCACCGGGGGAACAAGCCACTCTGAAGAGCTGGCTGCATGTCCGGGGGTAGATAGACAGCCACCAGGAAATGAACTCAGCAGTATGTTTGGTGTTTCCTTTTCACAACTCATGTTGGGACCCTTTTCTCTCTTTTAAGTTTTACCTTATTTTTATTTTTTGCTTTTTTGAGGCAGGGTTTCTCTGTGTAGTCCTGGCTGTCCTAGAACTCACTCTGTAGACCAGGCTGACCTTGAACTCACAGAGATCCGCCTCACTCTACCTCTCCTCTGTGGGGACTAAAGGCATGCCCCACCACCGCCAGGCTGCTGTTCGTTTTCTCCTGAGAGGCAGAAATGGGGTGGATCTAGATGGGAGAGGAGGTGGGGGAGGGATTCAGGAGGAGTAGAGAGAGGGCAAACTCTAATCAGTACATATTTTGTGAGGCAAAATTTTCTATTTTCAATAACAAGGAAAAATTGAAAAATAAGAAAATGCTGGCCAAGTATTCTACAATCAATCTATAATTCTTGTCTTTTGATTTTTTAGTCTGGTTATGAATCCCAGGCTGACCTGGAACTTGCTAGGTTGCCTAAGTTGCTCTTGAATGTGCAATCCTGCTGCCTCATCCTCCAGAAATGCTCTGACTGCGGGCTTGAATCCCCACTCCCTGCTTGCTTCATAGTGCTTTCACTAATATGCCCATTGTGATGTTTGTTATGGAGGAAGGGTTGCCCTGTGTTATTCTTCATGTTCTGAGGCTCTGTATTACTGAGGCAGCTTAACAGTGTATATGTTCTCCTGTTTGAATGTCATGTCTGTTCATTGCAAATGTGGGATACGGTGCAAGGCACCAAATGAGCATGGAGTAAATGTGCATTAAATGAAGAAAGAACCAAAGACAGAGAGAGACTGTCTAGAAGTGTGCGTTTATTCATCATGCTTGTTCAGAATTAGTATTGCAGACACAGGCAAAAATCACCATCTTGAAGGGGTTTGGGGATTCCAGCAATGGCTTGTCCACAGATTGGAGTTTCAAAAGTTTTGTTTCTCTGTGCATGTGGAGAGAAGAAACAATACACCAGATGAATATAATTCTAACTGGACAGTAGGGTGTTCTGCAGGAAAGCAAACTGGCCATGGTGGAGCATGGGGTCCATCGGATTTTCTACCATACGATACAATATACTTTGGTTAGTGTGACAACCCCAAGGTATGCAATCCCAAGGCTCTGAGCTCATCTAACAAAAGTTCTAGGTAGTTTTGGAGGGAAGCAGGTCAGAGGAAGGTTTGTGGCAAGGAATGCTAGGTGCTCACCTGAACTGCAGGGGGCGCTGTATTCGGCAAAGGCCACTTCATCTGAAAGACATGGAAAAAATTGAGAATGGGAGCTTTGATGCGAGAGGATTTTTTTGGAGCACACTTGATGTCTTAGGATTGACCAGTTCCCTCAGTCAGGATCTGGGTGATTGCTGAAAAGTTGTCTCTTTGGGTGCATCAGGCAAACTAAGCAGAGGACTTTCTCCTCTTGAAGCCACTGGTTGACGCCGTTATTCTGGGCCGGCAGATGGCGCAGTGGGGAAAGGCGCTAGTTGCCGTGCCTGACGCCATATAACCCAAATGGCAGAAGGCAAGAGCCCATTCCCCTAAATCGCCCTCTGACTTCCACAGGCGCCGTGGCATGCCTCTTTCTCACGAAATAAATACACATATGTGCAACAACACCAGAATAATTCACCCTATTGAGGAAACCCGAGTGTGCTTATCCTACAGTGTTTGAGCTGAGAGCTAGGAGTGGTCCGTGTAGATGTGTACTCCCTCAGGTGCCTTTCTATAGTTCTGATTTTCTCCTTCAGTATCCCTTGAAGTCTTCTATTCTGGAACATTTGGCACAGAAAGCCCCATTTAAGTCTCCAGCTCTGGCTTTGCCCTCTTTGGTCATCAACGACCACTCAGGCTATATTTCTCTCACCTTTTATTCCTACTGCAATTATTTGTACAGTTCTTTGTCTTTGCATTGCTGTATTCAGAAGAAGATTTGTGTGTCTTTCAACCTACAGACACTTCTTTGTTTGGTCCCTTGGGTTACTTGGACATGTTTGGTCCCACATGACTGGACAAACAGGTAGGAACAAGACATCAGTGGCTGAATAAATTGAAATCTTACATCTGTTGCATTCATATTCTTTTATTAAGGGCTGACTTGGCTAGTCTGACCTAGGTAACATGACACTGTCTCAAAAATAGTTGTTTTTAAAACTGGGTGTGATGGTATGTGCCTATAATAGCATTCGGGAGACTGAGTCAGGTGGACCAAGAGCTTGAGCACAGCCTGGGTTGCATATTGAGAAGCAGTCTTTAAAAAAGGAAAAGAAAAGAAAAGAAATCAAGTTGCTTTTAGGGTCTTTCCTAATCTCTTGCTCACCTGTCTCGTAGTAGTCATAGACTTTCACAATGGCAGGCTGCAGGTTCCTTACTGGGATGTCTTGTTGAACGACAAAGGAGAAGGCCAGTGTCTGATTGGTCACCTGCAAAGAGAGAAAAATCACAGAGGTGGCCACTGTTTTTCTTCTGCGTCACTCAGTCCTTGGCATTTGAGAAAGACTTATGCATTGGGTAGCATTTAACCCTCTCACAGCCACTGTGCTTGTAATTGCTCACATAGGTGGATGATGATATGATTTTAGAGTAGGGGCCTGATGAACTGATGTAGAGGCTCCTGGGAGTACATGAAACGTTTCTAGTCTACTAGACTATCCCCCAAACCCATATTTCTCCTTAATGTGTGATATAGGACTTTGTCCATTGTGTGAGAGATAAGTCCTTTGACTTGCTGACTTGGGACCCAATGGCAAGTCCCAGGAAATCCAGCAGCAAGAAAAGGGAATTTAAAGATCACTATCATCATCATTATATTATCATTATTTGTGTGTGTGTGTGTGTGTGTGTTTATATACTAGTGGGGATATCAGGTCCCCTGGAACTGGAGTTACAGGCAATTGTGAGGTGGTATGTGTTCTGGGAACTGAACTCTGGACTTCTGCAAAAGCAGTAGGTGCTCTCAACTGTGTCTCCAGGCCACTGAAAGAGAATTTAAACATCATCTAGCACGAAGAGAGGGAAGGTGTCTCTCCAAAAAACTTCCTTTAGAATTGCTTTTCTCCTGTCTTATGCTTCCTACAAAGACTTACTTAGACATGTCTGGGGAGGCAGGAAGGACCCTCCTGACCAACACAGATGAAGGACTGTCCACCTAGACATGTTTGGGAGGCAGGAAAGGACCTTACCTGATCCACATATAACAAGACCTTGTTATTGCTCACTTCTGTTCTGCTCACATGCTCTGATCGTTCAAGCTGAAGACGAGACAAAATACCTGCATTACTGAAAAAGCAAAGTCCTTGGGGCTGAGGCAAATGAACTGTGCAGTTGAAGGTGAAAAAAGGAGATGTCATTAACTCATTTAGATGAACTGGAAGAAAGTTTCCTGATAAGAAAGCAAATATATTCAGAAAATTGTGAATGCCACTCTACTAGAGGCCTGACTTAGTAATCTGCCGTTTTGACTTTTGTTTGAAGGTGAAGTAGTCCTGCATTTGATGGAACTTACTTATTTCATATTCTCTGTGCAAGTATCTCTCTCTGTACTCTGCTTTTGATCTTAGCTTATTCTTAATTTTCATAGTTCTGAAAACACCACATTTATAATTTTGGTATTTAATAATATTTCCTCCTGAATCATTATTGACCAGGTTCCTTACACTTTAAAAATTATTGTTAGCTAGATTGTAGACTCAGTGAACTTTCTTATATTTCTTCTGTTGGTTGCTATCACAGTACACACCTATACTTAGCATTATATAAATCCAATTTTGTTAAATTAGTACTAACATTGCTTTGGTGCAGGTTGGCATTATCATGATGGTATTGGCATGTTCCTAGTCTGAGGATACAGAAAATCCAAACATCTGGTCTACCTACCTTTTTCACTGTTGGTTTCAATGGAATGAAGCCAGATACCATCTTCACATCAACAATCACCATGTTGGAGGCTGGACGGCTCCCTATGTAACTGCAGACCAGAGAAGTGAATGGAAGGAGTAATTTTCATACTTTGAATCTTGCCTCCTTCCAGGTCCAGCATTAATTCCTGATATACCCTGTGTGATTTTTTCCATACCTTAAAATATATGGTCTTTACTGTCAATATAAATAGTCCTGAAAATATTATGTAACAATATCATTTGCAGAGTTCATTAAAAATAGATGAATCCATGGGGTCTGCTGGCCAGACAGCTTTGTCTGCTTAGCAAGGCCCCAGAAATTTAGAGACCTTATCTCAAAACCCTAGTATGTATAGAACCTGGAGACGGATGGGCTGAGGTTGTCCTTCCCCCCCCCCACAAACACACACAACTGTTGTGGAATATTAGTTTAATGATGAAAAAAATGTATTGCCAAATGGGATAGGTGGGGCTGCTGGGCAGAGAGAATAAACAGGAGGAGAAATCTAGGCCTGAGAAGAAGCATGAGGAGCAAGAAAAGGAGAGGAGGACACGAGGGACCGGCCACCAGCCAGCCATGAAGTAAGAAGGACAGCAAGATATAGAACAAAGAAAGATAAAAAGCCCAAGGGCAAAACATAGTTAAAGAGAAATGGGATAATTTAAGTTAAGTTAGAAAAGCAGGCTAGAAATAAACCACGTTAAGGCCAGACATTCATAAAGTAAGACTAAGTCTCTGTGTATTTATTTGGGAGCTGGGTGGCAGGCCTCCAAAGAGTAAACAGACCAGCTATACCCCACCACATTGTGGTGAAACAAGATGATATGTCACACTGTGGATCTTCTTTTCATCTGAGAGGCCTTCAGGTTTTGCAGTTAGACCCTTTTGCTGGTTGTATTTTATATGCAGCTTTTGACAAGTGTCAGAAGGGCAGAATATCTTCTTCCCCCCTCTAGAAAAATGGAATCTTAAAAGGCCAGGAAGGCTTGCCTTTGTGGGCGAAGAAGAATAGCCCACAGTAAGATATCATGGAAAAGAATAATCTATTATTTTACTATGATAGTGGGTGAGAAAGGACACCCAAAAGTAGACTAATTTGAGATTATAATTCTACAATCCTTTATTGTTCACTTTGCTGAAGTCAAGTGATTTTTTTTTGTTTATTTTCAATAGACTAAGAAAAATCTTTTTTTTTTTTGGACACAGAGTTTTTCTGTATAGCCTTGGCTATTCTGGAACTTGCTCTGTAGACCAGGCTGGCCTCAAACTCACAGAGATCCTCCTGCCTCTGCCTTCTGAGTGCAGAAGGTGTGTGCCATCACTGCCAGGCAGACAAAGCAAAATCTTAATGAAGAGACTTGCTTTAGATATCTCTGAACCCATTTCGTGAAGAGTTCTAGGAAGACAATAGTGTAGTAGACAAGAGAGACAGAGGTCCATACCTGATTTCTAGTGAGATCTGGAAACTGTTGTGGCCTTCGGGGTTATCACAAGTCAGAGGTACTGTCTGCACCCGTAGAGTGAATGCAGACTCCTCTTTCTCCAAGTGAACATTGTACTTCAGTGTTGTCTGATAAGTAGGGAATAGAAATACTTCACCTCCATTGCACTGAGTCCTTGGATTGATTTCTCCCAGTTTGAGTATAACATGGGCAGGTAGGTAAAGGGAGACTTTCTGTTTGGGAGAAGGAGGCCCACAGCCATATATCTACAGCTTCCCCAGAATCTTACCTGAGCATACACACATCCTTCTCCTGACATACTGATGTTATAGTCCCCAGGGATGTCTGGTAGGGAGACCTGCTGCAGTAACAGTCGATTACTGTTCTCTATTTGGAACTTTCTGGAAAATGTCCCCGAAGATTGGATGGTCACTGAAGGAGTTTTCTGACTTCTGGCGAAAGTAACTGCCCCATACTTGGACAAAGCATGGAGAGCTACCACAGTGTCCTGCGAGGAATGAGTGTAAAAGCTCAGGGTGGTATTAGTGTGGAAGGGCTTGGGCTCTTCCTGAAGCTGTGACAAAAGCGTCATGAGGTTTTGTCTCTAGTTATTTGATCTATAGACTTTAATTTAGGAAATAATTGAGAATCAAGAACATTCTCATGATTTCTTTCATTACACAGAGTGCCATAGCAAATGCAGATTCCCTCTTAGCCAGCACAAAGTATAAATACAAAATAGATTTTTCTCCTAGTGTTTGCTGTTTTTCTTCCTTTGTCCCTGGTTCCCACGATGATGCCCTACCATCTTCCAACAAGATTGCATTCCTGCTCTCATCACGAGACTTTCTCCTGCACTTGAATAATCAAGAGACATCAACTTCATGGCGAAGTGCTAGTCACAACTCAGTCTTATCAAACAGAAGGGAGAACTATGATCTAATGTCGTCCTTAGTCGCCTTGCTCCTCGGTGGCACACTCTATGGAGACGAACGCCGTGCTCTAGAGAGGCTGTCTCCCACAGGATCCCTCCTTATCCCAAGACAAGGCCAGATGCTGTCCTGACTACAGAACCCAACAAGAAAGCAGGGGCACGCAGTGGGGGTTTGACTATTACAATGCAGACTGCCAATTGAAATGAAAGCACAAGAATCAGATTGCAAAGCAGGATGGCCAGTATCATGGGGGGGGTCCTCTTTGTACATTTTATTTCTCCTTCAGAGGAGCCGACCATCTTACTACACTTCTCTGGAGATAAATTCTGCCACCTATGCCCAGGATACCCAGAGCATAATATAGATTTTATGGTAGATGTGTGTTTTTGGGAAAATATTACCTCATGAGAATTATACTGACTAGATGATAAAGCAAATAGTTTACAGTCTTGATTGTTTCCAACTATGGAGAGGTTAAGGCTGGCAGTAGGAGCTCCTACTAGCTTGGGGAAAACCTGAGGGCAATCTCCCCATACACAAGATTAGGCAAGTCTGTCAGGAGAAGGGAAACAGCCACACCTAAGGGCAGCAGGATGATAAAGATGTCAGTTTAGTCCAAGTAGCATCTCTTAGGTACTCCACATGCTGTTCCAGGGTGAGGTATCATGTCTAGGATTCTGGATACTCCAGGGGTTTTGCCATTGTTTTCTATCAAGATTTGGGTCTGGGTTAGAATTTCTCAGCAATGCAGGTCTGTTTCACCATGAATGTGGTATGAAGAGAACTCTGTGTTTGAACACAGGAACTAGAAAAATTTATGATGGGATGTATCATCCCCCCTCACTTCCTATGTCCTTGTTTTTTGTCTTCCCCTGTTTATTGTCCTTGCATTCCTTGTTCAAATTCCCTCATTGCACGGCGACTCTGAGGAAAGTCACTGACCTGTGTGGAGGAGAAGCCACCATGGGAATTCTGCTGCTTCGTGAGCCACTTCACGATGCGCACTGCCAAACCCAGGTCTTCAGGGCTCGGGGCTGGCTGGGCAGTGAGGAGAGTGAGGAGGACATAGGCATTCATCTCCACCTCAGCAGAGGGAGCCTGTGGTTCGTACAGACACCTCTCTGGTTTCGTCGGTTTCTCAGGTCTTTCCCAATGAACGGAGTTTTCTTAGGGTAAAAATAGATAAATAATAAAAAGTATGAAGAGTCAGTGCATGACTTATGTCTACATCTAGAAAGAAGGAACTATTGAAGATTGTAGTAGGTTTTAAATTTTCACTCACAGCATCCCCAGATTTATTAATCCCTAATAAAAATCTGCAGTTGGCATGATAGGGTGTGATTGACAGAGATATCAAGACAGAAATTCCTAAGATGTTAACTAAACTACATCCTCAATGATGCTGCAGCAGAGTTGGTGAGAAGGCAACAGCATTCCTTCACTCATTGACTCCCTTACACCCAACAAAGCATCACTTGTTCAGGGTTCAGTCCAAATGTCTTAGGAAAGTTTCCCATTGGTTTCAGAATTGCGGTTGAAACAGCACAACCTTAAAGCAAAGTTTCTTTTTGTGTGTTTTCTTCATAGTCTTTGCTCTTCCTGATTGGGTATATACTTATCAGAGTGAAAACTTCAATTTTAACTACATTTACCTTTGTAATGATAGGGGTGGCTGTATACATTCTACCGTGATGTTACATTTGTTGATTTGGGTCAATAGTATGAGAAAATACTGGAGAGAAATTGTTTGTGTATAGAAGAAAGATTAATTTCCTACTGGGTCAGTCCAAGGAGAAACCTTCGTGTGCCATAGAGACAGAACTAAAAAAAAAACTATTTTGACACTTTGTATATTCCCTTGCTTCCTTCACTGGATCTGGATGGAGACAAACATGACAGCACACATTCTTACTTTCCTCTATAGCCTCATTATCAAGAGATTTCAGGATTTCCTTTCTCTTGTCCTGGTTCCCTGCCAGAGCAAAGGCATAGGCTAGCAGCGCTTTGGTGTACACAAAGTTGCCATTTCCCTCTTGCTGTATCGTCTTCCAGGATGACTCTAGGCAGGCCAGGGCTTTGGAGACAACCGGATGCTGTTGGCAGAGAAACAAAATCCGAGCAATGTGCAAAAAGGTCCTAGTAGGCCCTGGAACAAACATGGAGGATATAGACATTTATGCTCTTCAAATCAGCATCTCCCTTCCCTCCCTCCCTCCCTTCCCTCTCCCTCCCTCTTTTTTGGAGGCAGCCCTTTTTATAAATTTAAATATGTATATTCCATTTAAATATAGACTGATAGGGACAGTATTAGAGGCCGTGTTTTTGGCTTGGTTTTTTTGAACATAGCCAGAATTTAATCGAGCAGGTAGATGCTCATTAATGTAATCTGACAAATGCAAAAAATTTTGTAAAAAAGAAGAAAGCTGCCACCAGCTTGGGAAGCTGGAGAAGCAATGTGACACCTACTGTGTCTTCGAGTGAACTCTCCAGAAGGGCGATGGTTACATAGGCAGAGAGGGTCACTTCATCGTCTACTCCACCCTGCAGAGCAAAAGGAATGAAAGAGCTGAAAGGTACAGCAAGCAATCCATCAAAGTCTTCCCTGCTCACAGCCAACCCTCTGGATTCAGTGGAAGTTTTCATTTATATCCCCATTATGAAAAAGTACATTCTTAACCTAGAGGCTTATTTGCTAGCATGGTAAGTAGTAAGGCCTGACTTTCAGACATAATTATTAGGTCACCATGCTTATAAGTAGTTCAGAGTAGGTCACCTTCATGGCATTGTTGAACAGATATCCAGAGCTCCTAAAACAGCCGTTGTCCTGCTGCTGCTGGGAGAGCCAGGTGAAGGCATGGGCGATGTGTGTTTCATCGATGAAGATGAAGGCTCGAGCTTGGGCAAAAGACTTGAGCACAAAGGCTGTGAGCCTGATAAGGAAGGGAGGGTGGGGAGATGAAGGTGTTTGCTCTGATGCAGCGCCTTCACACACAGGTTTCCAGGGGTCTGGACCACAATCATATGCAGTTAGTCGAAGGCTCTCTGAGTGTATAAAGCTGGACAGTGTCTCTTGCTATTCCAACGTAGTCTCCCATCCCTTGGTCCTTTTGGATGTGGACACTACAGTGTGGTTCAGCTGCTTTGCTCTCTCGTTGCTTCCCCCTTGCTCACTCTGGTGTTTCCTTAACACCCTCATCTTCATCTCATACCTCCTCCCCTTCAGATGAGTTCGTTTTGTAGATAAGAAAAATCTTCTAAAGCCCCTGCCATGTGTTTTCTGCCTCAAAAATTCCATCCCTCTCCTTGGCTTACTTCCTATTTCTATCAGTTTCTATGTCGTTTGTCACCTGTTTGTGTGTTTTATCTCAAGAACACATTCTTATGCAATGCAAGGTCTCATGAAGACTGGCAACAGCTTTGCAAGTCTCAGTCATGAGCATCTTTGGATGCTCAGTGATATGTAGCTAGGCATTTACTGATGAAATATGTTGGGGGAGAAATGAGAAACCCCGCTTATTAAATTGAGTTAGCAGGTGGTATGGAGTCAAAGCCAATGAGCCTTGAGACAATTTCAGTTCTGTACTTAATGTTTCGGCTACCTCAAACATGTCCCTCTCAGGCCCGGGCATCAGTTGTATTTCCATAAAACAGGGTGCATGTATAGTTGCCATGAGGAACAAGAGTTGAATGAGGCTTGACACAGAGTGAACTTTTCTTACCAAGTGTTTCCTTGTTTCCGGCCACCTTGATCCCCGAAGGCACTGTAGGAGCCGTCCTTGTGTTTGTAGTTCAGCTCCTTCTGATAGCCTGGAATGGAAGACTTTGGTTGTGTTTTGAAGAAACTGATGCACCAGAGAATGATAGGATCTAAGTCTGGAGCCAGAGAGGCCCTCATATACTCTGGTTTGTAGGACTGACCAATGAGAGCACTGCTCAGCTTCCTCCCTCCGATGCTAAGCACATTTCTAGAGAGACCATGCGCAAGAACCAAGTGGAGTCTCTAAGCCTTACTGACTGAAGGGTCCAGAAATAAGAACCCAAGAATAGGGATATAGAAGTATGGGAATGTGAATTTGTAGCTTAAAAAGAAGTAGGAGCTGACAGTCACCAGCCTTGACAGCAGTTAGGGATTAACTTTTAACAATGTTGCTCCTGGCCTTATGACCAGGAGCTGTCTGTGATCAAAGGTTAGCATTTTTTTCAGTGGCTCCCTGAGACTGAGGGTTAGCTATCAGGTAACCCCTTGCCACTTACAACAGACAGCTGCTGTGAACTGAGTTAACTTTTAATACAGAGTTGTGACTTTTAGTTGCATTGTTCCATACTCCTCCCTGCCTTGGGAAGTGCAGCATTTGGCAACACCATTAGAAGTGCACGGGAGAAACAATAAGCTAATATAAACACTAACTTAGCCAAAGACCCCGTTAATGGAAATTGTAAAAATAATCTGTACTTAAGTTTTGCCTTGAGATTGTGAAAATTCTTTTGTCCATGCTTAATGCTTACTTCTTGCTACAAAAGGGGAGCTGGGGAGCTGGGGAGTGGGGAACCCACCCAGGTAACCAGAACTCTGGCTGTGGTCTTAGTTAACAGATAAGGTTTTTTTTTTGTACCCCGAGTTGACTTGGAATAAAGTTTGCTTTTGCTTCAGATTTTGGCTGTCTGTTCCCCCACCCTTTACGCACTCCCAATACTGACCCTTATTGAGATAGCCAATGGCCTTTGACTTGATGTTCTGAGTCAGCTGCTGTGTCTCATTCAAATATTTCAGTACGTAGATGTTGGGGGCAAAAAGCACCATGTTCTGCTCCCCACAGCCAAAGGGCATATGGAGAAGGTTTTGTGTGTTTTTTATGGCCGAACTCAAGATGTCACCTGGAAGTGAGAGATATAGCATCAAATAGAACAACCATCATCTTCAAGCACAAAACAGCATCTTTAGTAGAATCATTTCTCAATGAGAGGGTAAGGTGTGCTGGGAACCAGGCTCATACTGAGGGGATAGAGACAGAAGATGTCACAGAGTTTAAGTGTAGTAGTTCAGAAGTTACGTTTGTAGTCACGATGGGGACAGGGTGGTGGTAGTGACTATTGTCCCAAGTCCTCCAGGGATGAAACGACTCACCCAACACAGAGAAATGGGCTCTGGCTGAGTCGTCCACCACCGCCGTTGGGAGCATCAGGGACACTTTTTCAGACATCCCGGCATCTTAATAAGCAAAACAAATGTGCAGATGGTTATCTCTGCTCTCTGCATTTCTAAACTGCTGTAAGGCCGGTCACTTTAAAACCGTGTCTTAAGCTTTGACTTCTTGCCTCCCTAGGAACATGATCTTGTTGTAAATGTCACAAGTCCACATTTTCTTGTACTATTGTTTCCTACTGTATTGAAGCAAAGCATCTCCAAAAGGAATGTCTGAGTCTCCTATTAGTTATTAATTGATAATTACTTAATTATTTGTTTATTGATTGAGTTTTGGTTTAGGTATATTCTGCTTAGGGTTTTTTGTTTTGTTTGTTTTGTGGGTGTAAACTTTGACATTAGTTAGCCTTTTCTGGCAATAGGGAACCTCAGTTGAGAAAACACCTCCATAAAATTGGCCTATAGGCAAGTCTTGGGGCATTTCTTTTTTTTTTTTTTTTTGGTTTTACGAGACAGGGCCTCTCTGTATTGTTTTGGAGGCTCGAACTCACAGAGATCCGCCTGCCTCTGCCTCCCGAGTGCTGGGATTAAAGGCGTGTGTCACCAACGCCCGGCTGGGCATTTCTTTTTTTAATGTTTGATGTGGCAGGGCCTAGCCCACTGTGGGTGGTGCCTCATCTGAGCAGGTGGCTCCGTCAGGTATATGAGAGAGCAAACTGAGCAAGCCAGGGAAAGCAAACTAGTAAGTAGCGCTCCCCACAGCCCACAGCCTCTGCTTCGGCTCCTGCCTTCAGGTTCCTGTCCTGTCTTCCCGCCATCATGGAAGATGAAACAAACCACTCCTCTGAAAGTTGCTTTTGGTCATGGTGTTTTTATCACAATGATGGAAACCTAAAATACGGCAATATGTGAATAAACATCCAGTATGTCAGAATAAGAAAATGGATACATTCTGAACTAGCCTTTGTGATTTCTGGGTTCCCCCTGAGCTACCTTAGGAGGTCTCACTGATCACGCCCATGCTGCTGTCAGGGAGGGCTTTCCTATGGCGGGGTGATGGTCAGATTGCCTTGTAAGAAATAATTATCAGGAGAAGCAAAACTGATCGATGGGAAGAATAAGGTTTTTCTTATCCTGCCCTTGGATGATTAAAAAATTAGTGTGCTTCCTTCCATGGAAAACATTTAAAGGATTTTAGCATTATATGACAGCCTTCTTCTCACACTGTATTAGTAACTGTTACATCAGTGTATCCCTTTTACAGACAAATATGCTTAACTTCATCTCTTTTGCTGCCTTTCATATAATAATGGATTTTACATTTTAAAACTTTTATCCCAATTTCTTTATTCTTTTGATAAATACATTTTGAGGATGCACGGCACCGCTCACTAGTGTAGATGCTGGTGATGTTGTCATTGTTGTGATGCTGTATTTCCTGTGCAATAGTGCATCCAGTGAGGAGCACGGATGAAAGAACAAGTCATAAAAACAACCATTAAAGAAAAATACGATGTTTAGTACACATCATAGTTTAGCTTGGTTTATGTGTGGAAGTTATTCAGCTATAAAATCTTTGTTTTTATTTTTGATCTAATACAAAACAAATACAGTCCTATCCAAGATATTTCTGTGTTTTTCCTTTTGTAAGGAAAATGTTGATTGTGAGCTCTTCTTAGTTTTTTCCTAGCTATAACTTTCTAAGTGCTGAGATGGGCTGGGTGAAAAGGTTTCTGTGTTCTAAAAAGAAGTGCTGCAATGAACTCTGAAGTCCCAGGTAGAACTATGACTGCACTCTTGATAACTGTATCTGGTAAGTAAAGATCTTGCTAATTTATGTGACTCAGTTTGTTTATATTTTAGTGGTTTTAAGTTACACAGTATCCTGATTTTCTTTCTTTTTTTTTTTTGACTAAGTATTTTCATACCAACCACAGTTTCCATCCCTCCTCTCTTCCCGTTCTCCCCCTCCTCTCCACCTCTAGTCCACTGCCCGCTCCACTCCTTTTCCATTCAGAAAGGGGCAGGCCTCCCATGGGAGTCAACAGAGCATGGCACATCAAGTTGAGGCAGGACCCCCTCCCCCAGCATCGAGGCTGGCTGCTGCATCCAAGTCAGCGCTTGTGCCAGGGACAGGTCCTGATCCCACTGCTAGGAGCCCCACAAACAGGCCAAGCCGCTCAGCCATCCTGGCTTTCTTACTGCTGCAAGAGACCTAAGTAGATGACGCCAGTTATTGTCTTACTGTTGTTTTGAAGGATTCTCACCTGATGCACAGAACAGTGAACTGAAGGTATGTTCTTTCTTTACTCCTTCGGGCTTGACAAAAGAAAGAAAGTTCAGACAAGAGGAATTACTGCGTGTGTAAACACAAAGATGCTGGATATATATATATATATATATTTTTCTTTTTGGTTGGGGGAGAGAGCTTCTTTACTTTTGGGGCAGGGGCTGGAATTAGATGGTCTACTTTTCCATCATAGCAGGAATGGCATAAACACTTGAGAATTTGGGCATGCCAGGTCAAGAAGAAGGTAATTAGGAAAGATAATAAAGACAAAAGAGGGGGTCGTAATAGGATCAGAAGAAAGAGGCAGTGCTTAAGAAGACAAACTGGCATGGCCCATCCCGCCAAGCTCCAGTTAAGAGAACCGGAAGGAAAGAAACAGAACACACACTGGTTTAACAGCACCAGCTCGCCTGTGCTGTGAAGTGTCTCGAGGTTATGCGTTAGTATCTTTTAGTTTTCATCTAAATACATTGCTCCATTCTTAGCTCACTGTCAATCAAGAGAGGGTACTCACCTCAACTATCAGGACTTTGACAACTGTGTCCTTTTTCCCAGTTTCAGGAACTATGGCCACCTCAGAACCACAAGGCTCTGGGGACTGTCGTGCTTCTGCGGTCACAGAGAAGTTCACATTCCCTGAAACACACACAGAGCTGAGCTCAGATGTGCCAGGAACTTGGCCTCCTCCAAACCCCAAGATCTGCAAAGCATCCTCAGGTCTGTGAGTGGTCCAAGGGCTTGTCCTGTATTTAAGAATGTGGTGAGCATGGGCCAGAAGCAGCGGTGACCGAGAACTTGGGGGACCCAATGAGAAGGAAGTAACTTAAGAAACCTTCCTACCTTCACCCTTTGTTTTTGGGAACCCTGACAGAATTTTCACTCACCTAATGATCTGGGAGTTACCAACCAGGATGTGGTGTGCCGCCCATTGGCACAGAGGCAGTAGGAATCTTTGTCTTTTGTCACTGGGACCGCTGTGAAATCAGGAGAGTCTTCCAGCAGCACCCCCACCTGTGGCCCCATGGGCCAAGAAATAGTCAGAGATGTCACCGCAGAAGGACAACGTATCAGGTGTGGGTGGAGGTCAGTGAAAGGGTGTGGAGAGTAGGAGCAGAACACATGTGCCTAAAATGTCACAGAAGCTGACACAGAAGGCTTGTATAGGCTTCATATGCACATACATGTCCAGAACTTAATTTAGCTATTGTTTATGTATTAGCTACACAAATAGATAATTATCTATTTATCTATTTATATTTGCTTTATTTTGATGGCAAAGATATATTTAATTTACTAGATTTAACTACTATGTTAAGTATGTATCTATCTCTAACAAAAGAAAATCCATTGTAGAAAAATATGCCATTTCATACTGACAATAGCTTACTATATCTTTGTGGACCCTACCTTTTGATTGTATCCAGAGGCCACATGGAATATCCTGGGTCTGCCAGTACAGTATGTACTATTTAAATAGTGGCAAAATAACCTAGTGCATTTTATGTAGTGTCCATGTTGCTAAACAACTCTTTGCTGTATGTATATGTAGTCAGAGTCTGGAGATTTTTTTTTTTAAGCATTTGGAACCAGTGCTGAGGGGTCAATACAATTTCTTCCTCCCTTTATTCCTTCTTTTCACTTAATTCTTAGTTAAAATTTACACACACTAATTTCCCCCTTTCCCACTGGTCATGCTTAATTGGGAAAGGTCTTTACCCGGATGCACTTTTGGAGGTAGTTCAGCACAGTGGCCTTGAGCGTGAAGGCTTCTCCACGGATCACAGAGTAGGGCATCGTGAGCTCCACGAAGAAGGGCTGGAAGGCTTGGAGAGATACCACAGGAGAGAGGCCAAGTCCAGTGTCATTGGAAAGACAGAGGGCCCCAGCCTTCCACTCAGTGATGGTGTCAGGGACCGTCACTTCCATTTCAGTCACTCCAGATGAGCTGGGAGAGTGAGAGTGTGAAGCGTGGGAAGTTAGAGTGGGGATGATTTATTTCTGAGGTGGTAACCAAAGAGTGTGACCTAAAGCCACCCCGCTGAGTCCTTCAAAGGAGTGATAGAGAGCAAACAGTGTGAACAGGACTCCAGATGGGAAAATAAAACGTCAAATCATGGCCTCATGACACTTCAAAGTCTATACGCTAGCGGAAATTTGAACATACATTTGAAGTTGTGTGGTGATTTATTATTTTATGATTTAATGAAGATTGCCTGAAGTATCAGAAAGCAAAGCCGGCCACACTAGCTAGCTGTAGAAGCTGGGCAGTGGTGGCACACACCTTTAATCCCAGGACTCAGGAAATAGAGGCAGACGGATCTCTCTGAGTTCAAGGCCACCCTGGCCTACACAAGATTAAAAGCTCACGCCTTTAATCCCAGCACTAGGGAGGAAGAGACAGAAGGATATGGCTGGGTGGAGAAAGGAAAACAAGGAGGAGGAGACAGGAACTGAGAGTTTTTGTCTCTGAGAATTCATGGAGACAGCATTGCCACTTCAGCCTGAGGTAGAGTTAAGATCCGCTGGCTTGACTGTTTTGCTTCTCTGCTCGTCAGTTTGAAGCTTGAACCCCAATATCAATCTCTGGGTCTTTTATTTTTCATGTTACATATTGGTGCCTGGTTTTTATTTATTTGTGCTGCAAAGTTGTCTCTAAACTCCCATCTCCAAAACACTATATGACAATTTTATGACTTATATGGTGTACTCCATGTAGGACTGCCTCACTTAATACTCAATATAGTGTTCCTGAATGGATTTAAGCATTGAAGAGGTATATGATAATTTTATGTGAATTTTATGAGAGTGATAGAAATATATTTTATAATTGATGCTCTTCTGATTAGCCATTTTGACTGTTTATGATGGAAATTAGAGAAGCACTAGAAAACAAAGAAATAGAATTTTCATACCCAGCCTGAATCCTACAAATGGAAATTACTTACTTTACTGTGACTAAATCCCAGATCCAGGTTTCGGGAAAATATTTTCGAATGGTCTCAGTGGCTAGATCTACAGGCGGTGGATCTTCACGTTCCACTGTGCTCTTGACTGGTGAGTCCTCATTGGTGACCATATAGTCATATACCAGGACAGGCACTACGAAGTGCAAGATATGAACAAAGTATTGAGCACAGTGGACACAATGTGCAGCGTTAACATAGCTAATACTCACTTTCTTTCTGGCTGTTAAATGCTATTACAACAGCACTGGAAATGATCCATTGAACCTCTCATTTTGGGGGAAAGTGGGTAACATCTTTGTCAAAAGCAGAAACTATGACATCCTGGAGAAAACATCACTCAGTGTAGTTGGAGTTGGAAGGAAGCATGGTACATATTTTCTTGGGTTGGATAGTCAGGGAATGCTAGCAAATGTAATGTGCCCCCGGGGTAATGAAGATCCATAATACTACCTCCCAGACAACAAATCCTGTGACTACAATGAGAATCACTTCAGACTAGAGCTGAATGATGGCTATATCATTAGCAGAGACATTATTGGAATGATTTTTCTTTCTCTAGATCTCTAGATCTGTAGGATTAACCTAGTAGTTTAATAGGTTTCAATGTATATAAAAACTAAAAGGGGTATAGGTACAAACTCTTGGATCAGAAATCCACACAATGGAAAAGTCCATATTGAGGTTGTGTTTTTTTGTTTGTTTTTGTTTTTATTGGTGATGCAAAGGAAGTTCATTACTCAATAATCATAGCATTGTTTTGGATTTGTACTGGTGAGAAATGCAAGGTGTCAAGGTGGTAACGGAGAGTCTATGCTCTGCTTCTTCCAAGAACAAGTATACATGCCGATTCAGTCAGGGATTCACCTACATGTCTCCCAACTGAATCTCAGCAATGAAAATCTCTCCCCTATTTAAAACACATCCACACAGAGAGCTTCATGTCTACAGGTCCTTCTCTGTGCTGGGCACAATCTCTAACCTGTCTATTTGCCTTTATTTACTTGGTGATTCCCAGTGACTAAGTTCTTCACTCTTTACCTTAAGCAGCTACAGGGATAGTTTCTCCTTTTATCCATGGTCTACAGTAGTCACAGTGCCTTAGGTCCTGTTGCTTTTAGAAACCTGTGATGATCTTTTGATTTCAAATCAGTATGAGGAAAATTAATACATCCCAGTCAAAATTATGTTTTATGTTAACACAAATGTAAAAGCAGATTTTAGTACTTAGTATAAATACTAAGTAATAATAATAGAATAATAAATATAATGAAATAATAAATAATAATGAAGATAGGGATTCATGTTTTCAAGTTATATTGCAGAGGTATAGTAATAAAACCAGCATGGTACTGGCACAAAAATAGACACGTAGGTCAATGAAACAAAATACAAGATATAAAGCTCATGTAATTATCTGATAGTTGACACAGATGCCAAAACACACACTAGAGGAAAGACAGCATTTTCAACAAAGGTGCTGTGAAAACTGGTTGCTTATTTTACCTGCTATTGGATGTCTAACACAAAATTTACGATGTTTGATCTTCAAGTTGGTGAATGCCTTTAAACCCACGCCCTGGAAAAGAAAATTATTAAATCAAGCAAAATATCTCAAAATCCTAAGAAAACTCAATGTGTATAAAAGTTATAGTAACTAATTTGGATATAGTTTTACAGGTTCAAGTAGAATTTATATTCAAATTGCGTTTTCCATACTATTTAGAGAGTGTGGTGAGGAACACAAAATTCGTAGTGAGGCACGTGTGCTGGTCTTCTTTCTGATACAATGCCTTGTTATTTTAAAAAGTCACTCATAGTCATGCACAGTGGCACACCTTTAATCTCAGCACTTGGGAGGTAGAGACAGGTAGATCTCTGTTTCGAGATATTTGATTACACTGTGTGAAGGTTTAATATGTCACTGTGATTGGTTTAATAAAAAGGGAAACATCCAATAGCCAGGCAGGGAAAGTATGTAGGAAGAGGAATTTAGATAGAGGGGACAGGGTGGGGGGAGAAAAAGAGAAAGAAAAAGAGAAAGAGATGCCAGGAGCCAGCTAGCCGGACAGCTAGGCAGAGGAAGCAGGGAAACAGGATATACGGAATGAAAGAAAGGTAAAAAGCCCCCAAAGCGAATTGCAGATGAATAGCAACAGGTCAAATTAAGCTGTCAGAGCTAGTGGGGCAAGCCTAAGTTAAGGCTGAACATTAATAATTAATAACAAGTCTCTGTGTCTTTATTTGGCAACTGGCTGGTGGGGCAGAGAAAGACTTGTCACAGATCTCTGTGTGTTTGAGGCCAGACTGGTCTACAGAGTGAGTGCCAGGACAGCCAGAGCTACATAGTGACAGCTCAGCCTATTTAAAAAAACTAGAATTAAAAAAAAAAAGGTCTAGACTGGGCACTTTCCAAGATGCAGATTTTGGAATGCTTGGATTTGAATCCGTGAACCACCACGCATAAGGTAGATGGTCTGCTGGTGATTCATATCCCTTGTCTGACTCTGAAATTCTTTACTAATACAGCATCTCATTAAACCTAAACAATACACAAAGCAACACGTTAATGGGAAGTAGAGCTTACCTCCATGTAACTGTAGATGTCCTTCTCCTCTGGGTCTAAGACTACTTCTTCACGATTGGGTGTATAGCCACTCCACACACACAGGTCGTAGTCTTCAAGTTGGTCTGGACTTGGGATGAAGCTGCTATGCCGCATTTCTGGCAGATTGTATATCTGTAAGAACAGGGGACAAGGGAGCCTCTTTCTTGGACTTTTGTAGAAGATACTCATGAAAAGAAACGGGTCAGTGTGATCACTGCAAATCACTTCTAGAATGTTCAAGGTTTTCTAAATTTTCTGTTGAAAAGTACTTCATTCTGAAGGTGTTCACAAGATGTAGAAAAAGACTAAACATACTCCACATATTAAAAATAGAGGTATGAATGTAAATCCTGCATATTATATTTGAGAATGATGTATTTTAACATAGTTTAATATAAAACATTAAACATTTAGAAATATGCTTACACTGCATAAACTTCAATAAATACAAAATACCAAGGTCGTATATTTCTTTTTTTTTTTTTTTTTTTTTTTTTTTATTAATATTTTTTTATTTTCCATTTTAAATTTAGATAAGAAACAAGGTTGCTTCACAAGTCAGTACGAGGTCCCTCTCCCTTTCCCTCCCTCCTCCCGTGCCCTCCCCCATCCCCCCCCGTTATCCCCTCATTCCCCCAGGGAGGGTGAGGCCCTCCATGGGGGTGTCCATAGTCTGTCATTTCATATAGGGCAGGGCCTAGACCCTTCCCCAAGAGTTCAGGGTGAGAGTGCACCTCACATTGTTCTATGGGAGTCCAGAGACCGTGTGTATACTTGGGATGGGTACTGATCTGCTGTCCAAGGCTCAATAGATTACCTAGGCCTCCTCACTGACACCCAGATTCAGGGGGTCTTGATCAGTCCCATGCTGGATTCCCAGGCTGATGCCTGGGATTCAAGAGTTAACCTTTGTCTGGTCAGCTGTTTCTGGGGGTTCAACCAGCCAAGGTCGTATATTTCAACCTACTGGTATACTATAAAAACAAGCAAACAAAACAAAAGTCGAGTTAGTCAGTATGTAAATAGCCTGAAGAGATCTGAATGAAGATTTCTTTACATATTTTTCTTCTTAAAATTCAGGGGAAAAATTTCAAAACAAAACAAACAAACAAACCCAATCCAGCTCCATCTTTGACAGAAGGATGCATTCAACCCTTCAAATTGCAGTTTGTGTAATTAGAAAGAGGTAGAGGGACTGCAGGTGACATGTCCAAATGGAAGCACATCATGCTTTAGCCGTAGGGGATGCTGATGACATACAAGCAATTTTGCCAGACTGCACAGGACCCAGCCTGGGCATTGGAGGTCAGGAGTCCCTAGAAGGCAAGGCTAGGTGAAGGTGTGTGAGGAAAACAAGAAACCAAAGCTTTGTCAATCCATGATGTTCCTAACCTATGTCTCTGAGACATGAACTTGTTCTTGGGACAGCGTGGTGACTCTGGGGAAACAAACCTTACAAACTGGCTTTTGCCTTTGGTGGCTTCTCTCTAAAGAACAGTGCTTATAAAACAGCAACACAGCCAGTCATGTGACAGACAGCATCACCCCAGCCCAGACCACAGGGCTGGCTTCAGTTCTCTATGAATAAACTCACGATTCTGCAGAGTTCCAGTGTCAGTGACAGAAACCAACATGAGCAGAGATAGGAGCATTGAGGAAAGAGCAGTAATTAGAAACAAAATAATAAAATGAAACCTTCTAGTAAAAAGAAAGGAAGAAATAAACAATATACCATTCTCACAGAGATAGGAAACATTGTATCCATACAGCAACTCAAGACTAAAATCTAGAGAAGGAAAAAAAATAGGTTAGGACATAAAGCTAAATTGCAACAAAATATTCAAAAATGTGAAAGGTACATCTGAAGGAAATTGCTCAGAAAATAGAAAACCCAAGGACAATTGGAGTAAAAGAAACGTTAGATGATTTACTCAGTAATCTGGGGATCAGATATAAATGAAAGACCTTAAGAGGTTCCAGAGGGGAAATACTGAACAAATAGAAAGATGCAGAATTAATGGCATCGAGCATTATAGCACTAACCTAGGAAGATATAAATCCATAGACCCAATGTCTCCAGAGTTCTCAGAGAACATAATTTCTTAGCTGATGGTTTGCCCCATTTCAAAGTATTAATTATTACCATAAGTGTAAGTATTTATAGCTGCAAAAGAAGTTTGTCTCTGATTCCTTTTCTCAGAAACTCACTACCACATGTTGAATGCCCAAGAGGGGCAGCACCCAAAAAAGAAGTCACAGGAGGTCAGAAAATAGTGAACCAAACAGGGAATTTTGAAGGGACTCCCCAAAATAATCTGGACTGCACATCATCCAGGATGAGAGCAGGGTGACAGAGAACTCCACTGGGGACAGGAGTAGAACTGAGAACTGCCACAGACGTTAGAGAACTGAAATGAAGTGTGGAGGATGACCCTACAGCAAATAGGAAAAGGAATGATCAAATGTCAGGACGTAGGAACACAAATGGGAGGAAATACAGCCACAGCACACTATCTGACTTAATAATTAGCCACATCTTTTGGTTATAGAAATAAAACTGTCTAAGGATTTCACACAGTAATCATATAGATTTGTAGGCAAGATGAAGACAGGAAGGGTCTGTCTAATCAGCTTGAATATGCCACTTTATAATAAGAAGAACGAACAAATGATGTTAAAAATGAAGGAGGGCCAATATTTTCAAAGACTAGTAGAGAATGTGGGATAAAGTATTAAAGACATAGCTGTAATCAGTGAAAGCACAAGCAGCCAAAACATGGATAGGGTGGTGGGAGCAAGGAAATTCTGTTCATTACTCTTTGGGCAGTATATGTGGTTTTGTTTGCTTGTTTTTGTTTTTTAAAAACTAATTGCCTGTATTTGTCAGCTAAAATAATTGCTCAAAAAATCTCTTACTGAATGGATTTGGGGAAGTCAAAATCTAAAGGAAAAACATTCTAGTCAAATATTTTCCTAAGCATTTTCTGCATGTGCATCATAAAATTTCATTATTAAAATTAAATTAGATGCTGATATAACCTACACATTATGAAGACCGGTAAGTTCCCAGCATTATCTGGACTAAAGGTTAATGTTTTTAAATTTACATATACATCCTAAAACAGGCTATTAGCCAGTGTTAAGAATAATTTTTTAAACGATTACAGTGATCCTGTAGTTTTTCTTATTAAATCCTATTCTAATTTCAATATAAAGAAGAGTTTTGCTATGGTTAACTTGGGTGAGACTCCTGTAAATAGTTGATGGTTTCAGTTGCATGTCTAAGAATTTTTCAAAACAAGCTGAGAGCCTCCTTTTACTCTGTTTTTAAATTTTAAAGCATTCTGTCTTTTTCTTATTTGGGGAACTCTTGTGAGGTACACGATTCCATTTGTATAAACTGTTTTGTTTGGACCCCACAGACAGCATCTTTCGGAAAAGCTCCATCATGAGCATTTGGGAGGCCAGCCACTCCCGGGGCAGGAGAGGGGCAGTAACGACCCGGAGCGCCTGGGTCACACACAAGCTTTACAACTCACTGAACACTTGATTTAGGCTTTGACTTGAGTTTATTTACTGAAGTTTTTGAGCTGTTCTTTGGGATTTTATAACTAAGGGCTCCCTTAACGATGCCTTTAGCATGAAACACGGTATTTTTATGTTAAGGAACCCTAGTATCTGAATGACCCGATTTATCAGAACCAGCATCTCAGAGCCTCACCACTGGCCCCTCTTGGACAGAGGATGATGGGGACTCACCCAGGAAGGGGAGAGCTCAGCTTCAGGTCTCAGGAGCAGCACACTTTGGTCCACGGCCCTTAGGCCACAGAGGGACTGAGGAGAAGCTGTGACTCGTAGATGGGCCTGTGAGGCGGGAAGACTTGGGGCTGGGGTGAAGCTCAGGTCCACCTGTGAGAAGGGGAATCAAGTTTAGTCAGCTTCCTGCTCTCTTAGCCCGGAAACCTGCCACATGAGTCACCCTGCGCACATCTGTCTGCCACATTGCGACTGTTGGAGGCTTGGCCGAGGCTCTTCGCTTCCTTTTTCATCGCTGGGATTGATTTAGGAAGACGGGAATCTATCAGTCAAACTCTGAGGCAATAAATGACTATTCCGGCTCCCTGAAATTGTTGCAAATAGCTCATTTTTGGTATGTGTGCACATGTATGTGAGTGTGGTGTAATACACATGTGTGTGTGCAGGAGGGTGTGCGTGGGCTGCTCTCACTCTCTGCCTTATCGACTGAAGATTGTCTCTCATGAACCTGGAGCTGGCAAGCACCAAGTTCCAGCAGTCTTCCTGCCTCGGTCTCCAGGTTATAAGAGCTACCAGGCGTGCGGGCCTTGAGTGCTTTACTTGAGTCCTGGGGATCCGGGATGCAGCACACATTTGTGTCATGAAATTTAGTAACAGCAAGGCTTTAAGTCCTTATCACACACATAGAAAAGTCAGAATGAAAAGCCGGAGGGAAAATAAATATACTAACAACTGGCAGGCCTGGATTCTACTGCTGGTCTTGCATAAAAGTGTGCAGTGTTAAGGGTCTATGAGATGGCTCACTGGGTGAAGGCACCCGCTGTTAACCCTGATGGCCTGAACTTTGTCTCCTGGACTGGTGGAAGGAGACAGACACCTGAAAATGGTTCTCCTTCCTCCTCATCTGTGCGTTCATGTGCACACGTGCACGCGCAGGGAAGTATAATACACTTTTTGCGTTTTGTGACTTTGAACGAGTTAGTCAGTTATCAAGCCCTCGGCTCCCCTCTTTCACTTCCCACTTCCTTGCTTTCTTCCAGCCATGGGGGGTTTGTGAACTGAAATCCGGCACTCAGTGCTGTCTGTATCTTTCTTTCTTTCTTCTAGCCATGGGGGGTTTGTGAACTGAAATCCGGCACTCAGTGCTGTCTGTATCTTTCTTTCTTTCTTCCAGCCATGGGGGGTTTTGTGAACTGAAATCCGGCACTCAGTGCTGTCTGTATCTTTCTTTCTTTCTTCCAGCCATGGGGGGTTTTGTGAACTGAAATCCGGCACTCAGTGCTGTCTGTATCTTTCTTTCTTTCTTTCTTCCAGCCATGGGGGGTTTTGTGAACTGAAATCCGGCACTCAGTGCTGTCTGTATCTTTCTTTCTTTCTTCCAGCCATGGGGGGTTTTGTGAACTGAAATCTGGCACTCAGTGCTGCCTGTATCTTTGCCATTGAGGCACACACCCATTGCTGGGTTTAGTTTATCTGAATTCTGTCTCATTAAGACATTTTTTTCCTTTCTAAATAGAAGTTTTAAGAAACAAATCACTCACTCTGTTGAGAAGACACTTTTCAATGTCAAAATTTGCAGAATCTGCAATAATTTCTCCATCAGGAAAGATGGCGTAGATGAGTATGCTAGCCACGGGGGCCATGCTCAACTCCACAGGGATCTCCAGGTCAAAGTAACCTTTTATTGGAGCTGGAGGGAATGGGAAGTGGGAGTTATGGGTCAGAATATTGGCAGGAAAACCCAAATAACTAAACACAGGGATCTGGAGGAATATCTGTCTGTGGAAGACATTCTGACCTCTGGTCTGTTCTGTGGTTAATTGTTTCTATGCTAATGCTCTCAGGAGGTATGGCACCTTCACAGAAAGATATCTTCCATCAAGATGTCTATCGTGGTAAGTTATATTGGTTATTTGTAGCTAATGATATACTAACCTCTTAATCTCTTTTATACCCTAACATCCCAAGTATGGATTTCCCTGGAAAGGGGAAATAGAAGAGATCTCATGGGTGGACTGGGGGTGGGTGAGGATGGGAACTTGAGGGATAGTGTTGGGGGTGGAGGGAGGGAGAGAATACTAAAAAAGATGACTGAAAAGGGGCACATTTTGGGTCAGGTAGAAATCTTGTGCAAGGGAAACTCCCAGGAATCTAGAAGCATGACTCCAGCTAAGACTCCTAGAAATAGTGGATATATAGCCTGAACTAGCCTTCTCCTCTAATCATATTGGTGACTACCCTAATTGTCATCAGAGAGTCTTCATCCAGCAACCGATGGAAACAGATGCAGAGACCCATAACTGAACATTAGGCTGAGCTTGAGGAATCCTGCTGAAGAGAGGGAAGGACTGGAGGAGCCAGAGGTGTCAAGGACATCACAAGAAAACCCACAGCATCAACTAATCTGTCTCATAGGAACTCACAGACTCGGGACCAATAACCAGAAAGCCTGTGTGGGACCAACCTAGGCCCTCTCCATACAGGTGACAGTTGTGTGGCTTGGTCTATTTGTGGGACTCCCAACAATGGGAGCAGGGGCTGTCCCTAATCCTTTGGTTGGCTCTTGGGAACCTATTCTTCATACTGAGTTGCCTTGCCCAGCCTTAATACAAGAGAGGTGCTTAGACTTACTGCAATTTGATACTCCATGCTTTGTTGATATCCATGAGAGGCCTGTTGAACAGAAACAAGAGGATCAGTGGGAGGCCAGAACCTCAGCCCGGAAGCAGCATCAGAGGTAGGCCTGAGCATCAGGCCCAGGAACAGGGAGCAGCCACTGGGTGAGACAACAGTAATGGTTTCCAGCAGTAGCTTCCAGAAACTATTGCAAGAAGTTCCTCTGGAAAAGAGCACCTGTGTCCCAGTCAGTAGCCACTGTCATTTCTCATTTGGAGATAACCCACTGCTCCATCGACCATTGGACCCTTGGTGCCATCTACACATAGAGGAGCAATCACTGGAGCTGTGGTCCCGCCTCCAATGGGAGGAGCATCCACTGGAGCTATAGCCCAAGTTGCACCTGAGCCTTGAGCCCACTTCTATCCACTTCCACAGGAGGAGCGTTCACCAGAGGTTCTGCTTTGCTTGCGCCTGAGGGAGGGGTCACCAGGGCCATAGCCCCCAGATATACCAATTGGAGAAAGAGAGACCCCTGAAGCAAAGCTCCACCTATACCAACAGAGGAAGAGATGCACAGACAAGGGAAGAGCACACTCAACAACATAAAGAGCATCACTAGAAACGCGGTCCTACAGCAGCCAGACCTGAACATCCCAACTCAGATGAAGTAAAAGAAAATAACCTAAAAATAGCTTTATGAGGGTGATTGAGGCCCTGAAAGAGGAAATGAAAACTTTCCTTAAAGAAGTTTAGGAAAAGACAAACAAAAAATTGGAAGATATCAACAAATCCCTAAAAGAAAACCAAGAAAAGCAATCAAACAAGTGAAGGAAACGACTCAAGACTTGAAATTTGAAATAGAGGCAACAAAGAAAACACAAACTGAGGGAATTCTGGAAATGAAAAATCTGTGTAAACAATCAGGAACCACAAAAATGCAAGCATAAATAACAGAATGTAAGAGACAGAAGAATTTCAGATGTTGAAGATACTATAGAACATACAGATTCATTGGTCAAAGTAAAATTTAAATCCAACAAATCCTTAACATAAACATGTAGAAAATCTGGGACACCATGAAAAGACCAAACCTAAGAATAATAGACATAGAAGAAGGAGAAGTCTAACTCAAAGGCACAGAAAATATATTCATCAAAGCCATAGAAAAAAAACTTTCCCAACCTAAAGAAGGACATGCCTATAAAAATACAAGAGGCTTACAGAACACAAAATAGACTAGACCAAAAAAAAAGTTCCCTCACCACATAATAATCAAAACAATAAACATGCAGAATAAAGAAAGAATATTAAGAGCTGCAAGCGAGAAAGGCCAGGTAACATGTAACAGCAGACTATCAGAATTACGCCTGATTTCTCAACAGAAACAATGAAAGCCAGAAGGTCCTGGACAGTTGTTGTCCAGACACTAAGGGACTATGGATGCCAGCAAAGTTTTACCCAGCAAAACTTTAAAAAACAATAGATGGATAAAACAAGATATTCCATGATAAAACCAAATTTAAACAATATCTATCCACAAATCAAGGCCTATAGAAGGTACTAGAAGGAAAATGCCAGCCCAAGGATGTCAGTTACATCCACAAAAACACAGACAATAGATGAGCTTACAGCAGCAAATCCCAAAGAAGGGAACTGAATACACAACGCCATCACCAACAATAAAAAGAAAAATAGCAGGAACTAGCAATCACTGACCATTAATATTCATTAACATAAATGGTCTCAATTCATCCATAAAAAGACATAGGCTAATAGATTGGATATGAAAACAGAATCCATTCTGCTGCATGCAAAAAACACACCTCAACCTCACAGACAGACATTACCTCAGAGTAAATGGTTGGGAAAATTTTTTTACAATCAAATGGACCTAAGAAACAAGCTTAATAAAAAAAGATAAAGAAGGGCATTTCATAGTCAACACAAGAAACATCCATCAAGAAGAAATCTCAATTCTGAACATCTATACCTCAAACACAAGGGCTCCTGTATTTGTAAAAGAAACATTACAAAAGTTTAAATCACAAATCAAGCCCCACACACGAATAGTGGGAGACTTCAACACCCCACTCTCACCACTGAACAGTTCTGCCAGACAGAAGCTTAACAGTAATAAGGGAACTAACAGATGTTATGACTCAAATGGACTTAACAGACATCTATAGGATGTTTTACCCAAAAACAAAAGAATATATTTTCTTTTCATCACTTCATGGAACCTTCTCAAAAATAGACCACATACTCAGTATCAAAGCAAACCTCAACAGATACAAATTTGGAATAAACCCCTGTACCCTATCAGATCACCACAGCTTAAAGTTAGAATTCAACAGCAACATTAATTTCAGAAAACCCACAAACATATGGAAATTGAACAATGATTTAACTGAACCACCACTGGGTCAAGGAGGAAAAAAAGAAAGAAATTAAAGACTTCCTAAAATTTAATGAAAATGACCTCACAGCATACCCAAACTTATGGGACACAATAAAAGCAGTGCTGAGAGGAAAGTTCATAGCACTAAATGCCTACATAAAGAAGCTGGAAAAATCCCACACTAGTGAATTAATAGAACAACTCAAAGTGCTAGAACAAAAAGAAGCAAACTCACCCAGAAGGAGTAGATGGCTGAAATTGAGGGCTGAAAGCAATAAAACAGAAACAAAGGAAACTATATATATATATATCAATGAGTCAAAGACTTGGTTCTTTGAGAAATTCAACAAAATAGACAAACCTTTATCCAAATTAACCAAAAGATAGAAAGAGACTATCCAAACTCACAAAATCAGAAACAAAAAGGGGGACATAACAGACACCGAGGAAATCCAGAGGACTGGAGAGATAGCTAGGAAGTTAAGATCACTTGAGGATCTTCCAGAGGACCACAGTGTGAGTCCTAGCATCCACGTCAGGCTGTGTAGAACTCTCTGTAACTCCAGCTTCAGGGGATCTAATACTTCTGACTTTGAGGGCACCTGCACACACACACACCCTAACCCCCCCCCCACTATTTAAAACAATAAAAATGAATCAAATAAATAAAAATTGGTGTACCTAGAATGGTTTAAAGACCAAGGCTGGAGCCCCCAGATTTTTTGGGGGAGGACAGACACTAAGATAACACATTTTGTCTTGATGGTGATAATGTGTGTATAAATGCATAGATTCCTCACTTGGGGGTGCATATTATAGTACTTTGTGTTTTAGGTGTTACACCTTCAGAATAGATATTTCACCATGTTGAATGATACCCAGTTTGGGAGTCTGAGACTTTTCCTTCCTGAAGGCCATGGTGTAAGGGATCACCTACATTAGATGGCAGAACCTTGACTTCCCACTGTGAAGAGTGTTTGGGTGACACATGAGCATCATGGCATCTTTAGCTGCTCAGTGGTGAGGTGTCCCTGGTGAGTGTGTTGGGTACTCAGCTGGAGAGTTGTTACTGGGTGGGAAACACTCACATTTTCCTGGCTCTGTGTGGTGAGTATGGCTTCCAGTCTGGATAATGCTGCCCTTGGCCATGACCTAAAATAAAAAAAGAGGATTCCAATCTTACATCTATAGTTTACAATGCTTTCTTCTAATTGACAAATCTATTGTTTGAGACTCAGACAGAAATTCCCAGCCTGGAACCCAACATGTCAGGAGGAGAGATGTTGTCAGGAGATGGAAGGATTCTTTGTATTTCTCAATGTGGGGCTAGAACTCACCAGGTAATAAAAAGTAAGCTCTCTCAGCACATTCAGGATCTGTCCCTTCACAATAAAGTGTGCCCGAACTGTGTGATTCTGACTGCAGGGTAAGACGCTGGCATCCGTCTCCAGGTAGATATAGCTCCAGCTGTAGGAGTAAACACTGTGAGCTACATGGCGTGCCTCTGAGTGTTCTGTTTGGCAAAGATCATGGGAACATGAACTTTCTATCTTGTGGTAGACCTGTAGAAACAACACATTTTGTCATTAATCATTTAAAAAATTAGACTTATAAGATTATTTATATATTATTTCATGTGCTTCAATAGCTTTGAGCTCAGGTACTGGAAAATTAGGAGGTTTGGGGTAAGTTATGTTGTTTTGTTTTTCGTATTTCTTCTATTTTGATGTTGCAACTTGTACATTTGTAAAGATGGATATAAGACATCTGCTGTTATAAGCGAATTTTCTTAATGAATAGCTTTATTTTAAAGGCTTGATTGCCAGTAAACCTCAGGAGCAAGGAGGAAATTTCAAAAAGTACATCAACACCAAAGCAAAGTGAAGTATGACTATTATACAAAACAATTCAAAATACATACTATACTTCCAATTCCAATGAATAGAAAGGGGAAAATATAATGTAAGTTAAACACTTGGGCTAAAAAGTAGAGAAAGGAGCCTCTTGGCACATGGTGGCTCACAACCATCTGTAATGAGATCTGGTGCCCTCTTCTGGCCTGCAGGCATATATGCAGACAGGATGCTATATACGTAATAAATAAATAAATCTTAAAAAAAAAAGAAAATGCCATAGTGGAACCTGTTACTTTCTATGCTAACTAAAACAAACAAACAAACAAACAAAAGTAACACACTCAAAGGAGGAGGGGGAAAAGAGAAGTGGGGTGGGCAGGAGGGCAAGGAGGAAAAACCTGAAGTAAAACCATAAAAGAAAAAAAGGAAAACTAACTATTGTGACTTAGGAGGAAACCAATCTTTCCCAGGGCTTTATTTCTAGGATTCACCAGGAATCCAAGGATGAGAAAGTATAGTGGTGTGACTCGTTGCATCTGAGACCCAGTCAAGAAGATCAAGGTAGTCAGGCTATCGGAAGAGGAAGGTAGACAGGCCACCAGAAGAGGAAGGTAGACGGACCATCAGAAGAAGAGGGTAGATGGGCCATTAGAAGAATAGGTCCTAGCCTAAGCTACTAGCTGAGCCAAGACAATGTCTGAAACACTGCAGGGCTGACTTTAGGTCACTGAGTCTATGGCTGTTAAACAATGACAGTATGAGCATCATGTGATCTCAACCAGCTAAACCTATCTTCTGACTGGCTGAGTTTCTTACACTAGAGGAACCCTCTTAGTGCATGCATGAGTGTGTGTGTGTGTGTGTGTGTGTGTGAGCGTGCGTGTGTACATGTGCCTGCCTGCCTAAAACAGGAACTAGTGTAGCATCAAACATACTTAGTTTGAGAATAACTGTCCCTTGTTTGAGAAAATGTGCACAGCATATCTGGACAATGAATTTGAGGATACACAGCACGTATCCCTGACTGAATAGATAAACACACGCTTTTAAATCATTTTTGCATGAAGGTGCATAAAGACAAGATGAGAAAGACCATGAAAAATATTACATTAAAAAGAATGCATTTATAGTGCTTGTGCTTATTTCTATAGCCTCTTTGCTCATACTTTTATTACTCAGTAGAGACACTTTGTGTCTTACCCTAAAATAAGAAAGTTTGGCATGGGAATATTTTTTCATTGTGCTACACATTATTGAGTTCAAGCTGTTACAAAGATTCACCACCACGTGTCTAATGCCCTCGTTTCTGACTTACTTTGACAGTGAGGGAATGCTTTTCGAAGTTGTTGGTGTTGATAGAGAACTCTGCCAGGCCGTGCTGATCAGTGGTACTAACACTGCTGTAGTCAAGTTCCTGAGATTTGATGAGGACTTCCTCATTTGGGACAGGAGCTCCTTTTAGATTCACTAGGCGGACCTAAATTGAACAAAGAAGAAAAGTATAGCTTAGGCATGAAGATACTATTTAGAATATAAGAGAAAAACCTGTTTCAATATTATATAAAGATCTGAAAAGATGCACCAACTAGTTGAGTATGCAAAAAAGTGTTTTTCAAACATCTAACCCTTTGAGATCGACACCAGCAGAGCTGGATGCGCTGTGGAAACCAGAGGCTGAAGGTGTCACATTCTTAATATGACTCAGTAACAGATGCTTCCTACACTTGCCTGTTATTCATAAGAAATCACAGATGGGTTCATTGTGTGGATAAAGGAAGGCAGATGCAGCCACACAGTCAAAATAAAAGCTAGTTAGGGCCCCAGGTGAGTGGAGAGCGTGCATTTCTTATGAATATTAGCATATCTTGCTTCATGGTTGAAACGCAGTGACACTTTTGGGTTTAAGGTTTTCAAGGACAGTAGTTACAAATAAAAATTTTGCTACATATGCTTTAGATTTGGGGCTTCTTGATAACTTTTCTAAGTGTTCGGTTTAGCTCTGGGAATTGAGCGCATGCACTTGAGCATGTGAGGTGCAAACTCTACCAGCAAGTTAAATTCTTGCATTGCAACCAGTGATGTCAGACAAGTTTAACACCTAAGCAGAATGGCTTAGGTTGAGGCCTCACGATACAACCCAATCATCTACGAATCAAAAAGTACTTTACTTTCACAACGAATGGAATCCCTTGTTTAAAGTGTGAATCCGCTTTCACAAATATGAATTTTGTTACGGCTCTTTCAATTTTAGTTGTCTCAGATCCACTGAATTCCAGTCCTGAAAAAGAAATTAGCAGCAGCATTGAGAGCCCAAGCCAGTTGGAGAAGAATTGCTTGCTTTCTATAGCGTTCAGACCACCACTGGTGTGAGCAAGTGTGAAATTTCCCAACTTCATTTTCTATATTCTCAGGTTACTCACATACCTGTCCCTTCCTCTGTCACCGTTGCGTTCACATGAAGGTGCTGGGCTTCGTTTGTTCTTTGCTTTAATTGAAACGCAGTGATGTTTTCTTCTTGTGTGCTGCAGCCATTGCTGTCTAGCTGATATGCAAGAGGAAACAAGGTGACATGGCACACTATTCAGATCGACGGTCAACTCAAACCCACATGTGAGGGCTCAGGGCCTCACAGCATGGCTTTCTGGTCATAAGCGTGGAACTCAGCTCACACATGGAGTTGCTGTGTGCCATGATCGTGAGCCAGTCACACAGTTGCCTTGGCTTTGTCATCTATAAAAATCATGATTACCTTTATAGACAATAGGAAGTATTAAGTAGACTCACAATTACAATGTAATCAGAACACTTGTATGTCATTAGGACTTAACAATCACCTTGCATTATTTAAAATAGCAGCCACAGGTACATTTTACTAGCAGGCACGAAACTGTTGACCTGATACTGAGTACTAGTAAATAGATAAAGTGAAGTCTACTCCCAGAGTGCAGTGGGGGCTTAGGAGCTGCCTCTGTGTTTTTCTGTGACATTATTCTGAAATGTGAGAGAAGTCACCACAATGGTATTACTTTGTTCTTAATTCAACTCAAACTCATAGACTACTTTACATTTTCTGCCGTTTTCATGTCTAAAGTGATTGCTGCCACATTAGCGCACTTTATTTAGTTTGAATTGCATCATTCTATCATCTTTGGATTCCTGGTGTCTGGCTGCTTGTTTTCTTGTCTCTGAATGATAGTGGGGATTGAGCTGTGAAGTGAAAACTTTTTACCAAAAAGACCCCCAAATAAAATTGGAGGAGAGCTCTACTATAAGAGATGTGTAGATCACAGTGTAGGAATACAGGAAACAGGAAGCAAGGCAGTGTGACAACTGCAAAAGGGCACAACTCGTCACTAACTAAATCCCAGAATACTGAAATTGTCATCATGCTGGCAAATAGTCTAATTGTCTAGTTTTGGAAAAGGCTAGTGATCTCAAAGAGGACTCAAACAAGCAGGTGAAGGTATTAATGTCATCAATTCGGGACAAAAATGAGAATGTCAACTAGCGTGTGAACCAACCAGAACACACAATAAAGTCATAGTAAATAAATAAATAATTGCCAGCAAATAAATATACATGATTTCATTTGTTTGTTTATTTTGCAAGACAGGGTTTCTCTGTATTGTTTTGAGGCTATTGGTCCAGCCTGGCCTCGAACTCACAGAGATCCGCCTGCCTCTGCCTCCTGAGTGATGGGATTAAAGGCGTGCACCACACCGCCCGGCAATATACATGATTTTAAGAGACACATGATAACTAATTAGACTAAAAAATGAAAAGATAGCGAGGTAGTTTGAATGCAATTCCCCCCTACCCCATAAGCTCATAGGGAACAGCACTATTGGGAAGTGTGGCATTGTTGGAGTATGCATGGTCTCGTTGGAGGAAATGTGTTACTGTGGAGGCAGACTATGAGGTCTCATATATGCTCAAGCTATACTAAGTTTTGTAGACACTTTCTGTTGCCTGCACAAGCTACTTCTCCAGCATCATGTCTGCCTGCACACTGCCAGATCCCACCATGATGAAAATGGACTAAATCTCTGAACTGTAAACTACCCAATTAAATGTTTTTCCTTTATAAGAGTTGCTGTGGTTAACAATGGAAAAATGAAAACATCTTCAATAAATGGTGCTGGCATAACTGGATGTTGACCTATAGAGGAATGTAAATAGATCCATATTTGTCCCCATGGACAATACTCAAGTCCAATGGATCAAAGACCTCAACATAAATCCAGTGACACCGAACCTGATAGAAGAGAAAATGGGAAGTAGCCTTGAACACATGGGTACAGGTTTAAAAAGGGGGCTCTAAGAGGAACACATATGGAGGGCTCCAAGAAGGGAAAATAGTTAAGATCTCCTGGGTAAACCAGGAAGGGGTAGAAGGAGGTGATGGAGGATGGGAACAGGAGGAATGGAGAAGGCCAAGTTGGGGGAGGGATGGAAGGGGAAAGGAATGAAAGAGATATCTTGATAGAGGGAGCCATTGTGGGGTTAGGGAGAAATTCCCAGGAATCCACAAGGATGACTCCAGCTAAGACTTCTAGCAGTACTGGAAAGGTTTATCTAAACAGCTCTTCCCACTTAATCAGATTAGTGACTACCCTAATTGTCATAGAAATTACATCTAGTAACTTATGGAATCATATACAGTGACCCACAGCCAAACACTGGGCTAAGTTCCTGGAGTTCAGTTGAAGAAAGGGAGGAGGAATCTCATATGAATAAGAGGGTCAAGATCATGATGGGGAAAACCAGAGAGACATCTGACCCAAGTTAGTGGGAGCTCATGGATTATGGACTGACAGCTGGTAAACCTGCATGAAACCAAATTAGTTATGTGACTTGATCTTGTGTGTGAGGGGGCTGGCAGTGGCACCAGGACCTACCCCCAGTGCATGAACTGGCTTTTTGGAGCCCATTCCATATGGTGGGATATTTTGCTCGCTTTGATACGGGGGGAGGGTCCTGCCTCAATTTGGTATGCTGGACTTTGTTGACTCCCCAAGGAAGACCTTAACCCCTCTGAGGAATGGATGTGGGAGGTGGAAGGGGAAGGTGGGGACTGGAGAAGGGGAACTGGGGTTAGTTTGTAAATAAAACATTTTTAAATAAAAAAGTAAAAAAGAAAAAGAGTTCCTGTGGTCATGGCATCTATTTTCAGCAATAGAAACCTTAACCAAGACAGAAGTTGGCACCAGGGACCTTGGGACTGTGGATTGGAAAAGCAGTTGAATATTTTAAGTTAATGGGACATCCTAGTAAGAACATGGAAGACGGTAGTGCTGGGTGGGATTTGAACTGTGAAGGCCTGGCTCAAGAGATGTCAAGGAGAAGAATACTGATAATAATTAATAGAGATTGTTCTTGCAAAGATATTTGGTGCAGAATGTGGTTGCCCTTGTTTGAAGAGTCTGCCTGAGGCTAAAGTGAAGAGATTTGGATTAATGTTGTTGGTAGAGGAAATCTCAAAACAACCTGGTATTGGCTATGTTGTGTAGTTATTACTGGTCACTCTTATACATATTTATAATGAAAATTAGCAAGCTGAGCAAGAAAAAAATACAAAATGTATAATTTGAGGAGAAAAAGAGCATCAGGGAGTGGAATGGAGCTAAGTTCTGTGTTCAAGGAGATAAAGATTAATTTCCTTAAATTAAATATTTCTTAATCAAGATTAAAGATTTCTTAATTAAGAAATTAAGAAATGGAATAAAGGGAGTGGTACCCTCAGGGTAAGATCCCACCCAGTTAAGTTTCTAACTTGTGGAAAGGAATTAAAGAAAAGCTTAAAGCAGGGTGTAGTGGTGCACACTTTTAATACCAGCACACAGAAAGCACATCTCTGAGTTTGAGACCAGCCTGGTCTTCAGATCCAATTTCAGGACATCCAAGCTTAGGCAGTGAAGGAAAGCATAAAAAATAGAAAGTTTGTATAAACATAACTGAACAAGGGGGCCATGTTCCAGCTCCAGTAAGCAACAGAATTTGACAGCCTCAGCCACGATTCTGGAGTTAAGGAAAGTTCTAAGGGGCTATGGAATTTGCCTCCATGACTAAGGAAAGCTGCTGAGTCCAGGAGTGTGACAGGGGTGTCCCTGAATGGAGGCCTAGAGAGGCCATTTCATGAAGTTGTGAAGTTGAAGCCTGGATTGCCCTGGAGACCCCAAGATGTTGGAGATTCCAGAGCCATGGGATACCTGCTGAGGAGGCTGCTAACAGGGAGTGAACCAGCCCAAGAGAAAGAAGTGTGTTGCAGCCAACAAAGCTGAAAGGAGTTGGAGATCTGAAGAGTGTTTTGACATCAAACAGGGAGATGCAGAATTTGGAGTTTTCCCAGCTGGTTTTTGGTCTTTCTTTGGTCCAGTACTTCCTTACTATGCCCCTTTTCATATGCTTTGGAACAGTAATGATATCCTATGACATTATATGTTGGAAGTATGTGATATGTTTTTTATTTTTATTTTATAGGGGATTAAGGTTAAAAGATTGCATGAGTCTCAGAAGAGAATGTAGTATGATAAATAAAAGACCCAGAGACTGATATTGGGGTTCAAGCTTCAAGCTGAAGATCAGAAAAACAAAGCAACCAGCTGCTAGCTCTTACCTCTACCTCAGACTGGAAGGCAATCTTGGCTCCACCAAACCTCAGACTGCAATCCTAGACTGCTATGCTCTCCTCAGCATGGTTGGAGAATCCTGAGACTGACTGTCTTCCTATGCTCAATGTGGCTGGAGAATGAATGGCTCTACCTTCTATACCTCTCAAATCCTGGGATTAAAGACATGAGCTCTGATTCACTGTCTAGTAGCCCAGGGTGGTCTTGGACTGAGGTATTAATCTACCTCTTAATTCTGAGGCTGGGATTAAAGGTGTGTACCACCACTGCCTGATCTCTATAGCTTGAGGCTTGGTTTGCTTTCTGAACACTCAGGCAAGCGTTAATAAATCATAAATAATATATCACCACAAGAGACTTTGAACTTTTAAACATTGTGTTCCACCACAGAGCTACACACCTAGATCCCAAGGTACCAAGGTCCCAGAACAACCTCTTTCAGTATCTGGGTGTGCATTTCCTCTCGGCCTTGCCGTCTGTATTTCTGTATCAGTTAACCCTGCATATTGAAAACAGGCCTTTGAACAATTTTACTCACCTGGTAACTGGCCTCTTGGCATCTAGTCTCTGTCTCCTTGCCGTGCTGCTGATATTTATGGCACATACTTATCTTTACATGTCCTGGCACTGGCTTCCCATAGGTGTATCTGTCACAAGATAAATTCAGAGAGACCAAGGGTCTTCCTAAAGCAAAGACACACACTCCTCCCACATATAGTCCACACTGCCAATCTGTAACCATAGATTGTATACTTTCACATTGACAGCAAATATGGAGTACCACTTGACACTGTCTTACTAGATATATTAACAATTTAGCCCTGTTAAGAACCTCTGGGAGACACAATTTTCTCCCTTTTGTAGCTCTGAAAAGACTAGCGATCCAATCAGGATCTTTAGGCAGTAAATGGCAGGGCTGAGATGAGTGGGAAACAGGGCGACATGACTCAGAACTATTCTAACAGACCTCCTCAATCTCTTTCCTTCTTTCTTTCAATTTTCTTTTGAGCACACTTATTTTATAGACAAGCAAATGTGAGCTAAGGCGTGTCTCTTCTATTGGACTCAGGCTCCTTCTGGTGTGATTTGACTTAAAGAGCTGTGGCGAGGGATCCTTATTTATCAGGTACAGAAATGCAAACAGAGAAGTGAGATGCTTGAAAGTTAAACTTGGGCTGCAGTGGTTGGAACTGGAGCCAGGCCGGGAGCTCTTTTTTCTCTGCTCTTTCTGTCAACCCATAACAGGTCATCAAAATGCTGTGTCTAGTGCCTGTGTTCTCTTCACGTGGGTCAAGGGATCTTTTTAGGTACCTTCCTGTCTCCAAAGGTAGGAACTCTCTACTGCCACATAAATTGATTCTACCATTGGCATCATCAGAATTAACATCAGTAACATACGCAATGAATGTTCAAGAAGTAATCAATGCAGAGCAGTCAGGGACTCGAAGAAGAAATGAATACATAGGGAAGCATGCTAGGAGGGAAACACACAGCCATAGCGTTTCTACAGTCTACAGGGAGACATTATCCTGGCTACTTTGTGTCCAAGTGTTTCTTAAGGATAGACGGTTAAATACGGGTAACTCACACTCCACACACAGTCACGTTTATTGTTTCATCTTTCATGAAGATGGCCTTCGGGACCTTTACTTGAACTTCAAATCTGGGAAGCACTATTGGGGGAGAGAGGAGAAATTCAGGTGGGAAATGACTTTTCTAGTTGTCTAAATGGTCAGCTTCTGCCAAGAAACGGTGATTTCATATAATTAAGGTCACAGCCCCTTCCCCCAATAAAGTTAGAATACTGAGTGGTCATAGGTTAGATCAGGTTTTACAAATCACAGAGGTATCTACTTAAATAAGAAAAACCAAATAGTTTGCCATGGATCCCAGAACTTTCTGAAAGTCCCATGTTGCTAGATGGATAGCCTAGCTAGAGTCAGATGTAGCCCAGCCTTACCTTTGGAACTCAAAAGAATTCATCCTCCTATGATAACCAAAAACTTATGACATTTATTTTCCCCTTTCAACCTTCTCAAGCCATACCAAATTCTTCCACGGTGAAGGAGTGTTCTTTCTTCGCTCCTGATTGCTTTTGTACCACTATTTTGTAGGAGCCTAGAATGGGCTCAGATGACAGACTGAAGGACAGTTGCTTAAGCCCATTCTCTGTGTTAATATCCTGCCACTGCATAATTCGATTTGTTTTTGGATCCTGTGAAACAGGTAGTAAATTTTCTAAGTAAATAAAGCATTCATTACAACAACACATCTAAGACCACTGTGTTTGTGATAGAAGCATTTGGGAACTTGCTAATATTAATATTCTTTTTTGGGTAGGGAGGAATAAAGGTAAAGTAGGAAATAATGAACCAATTATCTGGAATGGTGGAAGGCTGCTGATCCATAGTACTGCTACAACATTCCAGCATCCAGTTAATTTCAGTGGATTAATTTCTCTCTGAATGTAAAATAGTTAAGTTTCTTACCTCAATGTAAGCCAGAGGAAACTAAAACAAAAGGGAAAATTATGTTAGTTTAGAACATCAATTCTTAACCTATGGTTTATGACCCCTTTGGCAAACTTCTGTCTCCAAAAATATTTACATTATGATTCATAACAGTAACAAAATTATGGTTATGAAGTAGCAATGAAATAATTTTATGGTTGGGGGTCACCACAATGTGAGGAACTGTATTAAAGGGTCACAGCATTAGGAAGGTTGAGAACCACTGATTTAGAAATTTCACACATATGGCAAATTCAATAAGTTTATGGAATGGGCCTTCGGATGGGAGTTCCAGCCAGAATTCAATGAACTTAATATCCAATAACAAAGTCAACTGAAAGCCAACTAACCACCACAGAAACACTGTAATTATATGTTCTAGAACTATCTGAGTCCTGTGAATTACTTAACCGATAGGAACTGAGAAATGGAACTATGTGGGACATTATCATTAAGATGTTTCTGTGCTGAGACCCACCCTGGGACTTTACAGTATGGAGATTACAGAATTCATTGTTCAGATCAGGAATATTTTTTAGTGTGAAATGGGGTTGCTAGTTTTAAATACATCCAGTCAAAATGTTTAACTTGGGGGTGTCCTGGGCAAGCTATACATGCCCACTCTACACAAGGCACTGGCTTCCCATTCCTCGCCTAATGAGTTTCGTAGGATTAGCACTTGCGCTTAATGTACACCTCTTGAACATGGCGCCAACAGAGCAAACCAGTGCCTAACCATTGCCCTGGAAATACGGAGGAAGAAAGGGCTCAGCAGCTGCTCTTGCTTCAAAGGAGGGTTGGTGCTGACTAAGGCACGGGCTGCACGTTCAGAGGTCTTTCGGGTGAGGTGTTTCTGATTGGTCAGATGAAGACTACACCGTAAAGACAGTGACAAGGTCTTTCAAAGTTCTGTAATAACTGAGCTGTCTGAAGAGGTAAACTAAGTTTGGGTAAGCATCAACTTAAAGCAAACAGTCATTTCCAGCAGCTGAAGAGGGAGCAAGCAGTGGTAATTGCAAGGGAATTTTAGCGATATAGAACTTCTGAAAGCATAGAAAAATAAATCATGACAATGGATGACAAAACTAGGGTACACGTGCACACAATGAAGATTTACTCAGCTGTAAAAAATGAAATCACAGAATTTTCAGGCAAATGGGTAAGGCTTGAGAAAATTATAACGGTAAGCCAGGCTCAGGAAGAGAACTGCTGTATGTTCTTTCTCATACGTGGGAACTAGAAGAGGACCACTGGGGTGGGAAATCCCTCAAAGTAGTGGTGACAGCATGACATAGGTGATGTCAAAACACAGTCACACTTTTGGGGGTAGAACATTTAAGCAGGGATGAGTGTGTGGGCTGGGAAAGACGAGAGGGGAGGGTGGGAGGGTTAACCGAAACAAGGATCCATGAAAAGCCACGTGGAAATTTACTGTTTTCTAAGTCTATTTAGAAGCATAAGTTAAAAGGAGAGTCAGGGGGAAGAGGCATTGAATGTCTAGATAATGCTGCTCCTAACAGCCCAGGGTCACTAACAAATGTCCCAGTGCTAGGCATGAGACACTGTCTTGGGAGTTGCTGGCCAGGGAGGCCCTAGAGACCCCAAGCATTATAGGATCTTGATGCTATTCTTGATTGCCCACAATAACTAGTTATAATGTTCTATTGTGGAAGACACCACACACCTTGGTTGAAGGGTGTAGAGCAATTGAACTGGTGTTCTGCTGACATCCCTCCCATCTCCCCACCCCCTCACCCCTGCCTCCAGGCTGACTAGTTTTCACAATGCCACAAGGTGCTGTACCGGTTGCTGAAGGAGACAAGGCATCAATGTTCTCATCCAGGTGAGAACCCTGGGATCTAAGACTCCAACCTGCCAGGCAAGTTGTGCACATGCGTCAATAGCGGCACAACTTTTATGGCGGTAACCAATTGATCTCTGATTGGATTTGAATCTTGTTCTGTAAGATGGAGTTCATGCTGGGTACTGAAAAGCCAGTCAACAACCCATGGCTGAGGAAGTCTTAAGTCCAAGTGGAGAGACCACACCTTTGTTTAGCCAAATTGTCATGGTGCCAAGTTGCCTTCTTAATAATTTATGCTCATGCTCATGAACAAACACTACATTAATTATGGAATTCAATAGGCCTAAGAAGAATATTGAAAACCATCAGGAAATACATAAAAGAAAATCTAAAATAATGGGTATATGTATGTGCACTAGACAAAAACATTTGTTATTATATATTATATATTTTCAAATCAATATATACATTATTAATATTTCAATGACATTTCCAACTCTGATTGTAGAACTGCAATCTGATAATAAAATTCATATAAAGCATCCAAGAGCAGTTGATAAAATTATGAAGAAAGGATTAATTCAAAGGAGAAGGAAAGTGCTGTAACCCTCATGAAACTAGGAGATAAAAGACAGAAGGGAGAGGCAATTGGTAAATGCTATCTGCTCAAGCAGAAGGACCTGCGTTCCACCTGCAGAATCCACATGAAAGGAGGGACAAGTGCTTACTGTAGTCCCAGTTGGAGAAGCAGAGACAGCCAGCTCTCACAGGGTCACTAGCTAGGCCACCCTAGGCCAGTCAGACCCTAAATCAAACCCACGTTGTTCAGCACCCAAGAAATGAAATCTAAGATTGTCTTCTGGGTAGCATCTTCATGTGTATACACACACACACACACACACACACACACACACACACACACACTGAGCATGTATTACACAGAGACACACAAAGTACTAGGAAGTGAGTCAACACTCTACACTGGAAATTTTACAATGTCATAAGTCTACAGAGATAGGTAAAGTGATTAAGAGATTGTCCAGCAGAACCATACATAGTGGGACTAGAATGAGGCAATCCACACCCAGAAAGACAAGCATGATATATACTCACTTATTAGTGAATATTATCTGCTAAGTAAAAGGTAATCATGCCACAGTCCAGAGACCCTGAGAGGCTAAGGAACAAGGAGGGAACTAGGGGCAATGCATGGATCTCCCTTGGACAGGGAAATAGAATAGATTTTGCAGGAGGACTGGGGGCCAGTGGACATGGGAAACATAGTGCAATGGAAACTTCCAGGAACCTATGAGGTGATCCTATTGAGGACTTCTAGCAATGGAGGATATGGAGCCTGAACTGTCCATCTTCTGTAATGAGGCAAGGCTCCCAGTGCTGGGACTGGGACACCAACCCAGCGACAAAATCTTCAACTCACAACCTGTTCCTGCCTGCAGGATGTGCTGGGGCAATTGTGGCTCAGAGCTAGTGGGAGTGGCCAATGAATGACTCATCTAACTTGAGGCCCAAGCTACTAGAGGCAGCCCATGTCCCACACTGACTGGATGGTCAGTAACTGAAAGTTGTGGAACCAAACATGACCGACTCTCCCCCCAAAAAGTCAATGAAATGATTCATAGTGATATTCTGCTATACTTACAAGATTAAGGACTAGTCTAGTTGTCATCAGAGGGTCTTCCTTTGACAACTGATGGGAGCAGATGCAGAGATCCACAGCCAAGCATTAGGCAGAGCTCAGGAAACCCCGCAAAAGAGGGGAGGAAGGATTGTAGGAGGCAGAGAGGTCAAGGACACCAGGAGAACATGGTCCACAGAATCAACTAAGCAGGGCTTATAGAGACTGAAGGAGAAACCACAGGGCCTGCATGGGGCTGTGTTAGGTCCACTGCATGCATGCTGTGACTGTTTAGCTTGGGGTTTTTGTGGGACTCCTAACAGTAGGATTTGGGGTGTCTTCAACTCTTTTGCCTGCTCTTGGGACCCTTTTCCTCTTGGGTTGCCTCATCCAGCTTGATTTGTGCCTGGTCTTACTGCATTTTGTTATGCTATGCGTGACTGATATCTAGGTGAGGGAGGGAGACTAGGAGGAGTGGAGGGAGGGGAGGTCATGGTCAGTATGAGAGAAGAATAAATAAAAATAAAAAATCCTTGATAGAATTATACAAAAGATTATTGTGATAAGACAATCTTTAGACTCTCCAACAAACGGTGTCTATTATACTTTGTAAAGAACAAGTTAAGTAAAATCAGATCACTATTTTATTGTTTATTTTAATTTTCTGTTTATTTTGTTTTTGATTTTGAGACAGGGTTTCTCTGTGTAGCCTTGGCTGTCCTCGAACTTACAGATATCCACCTGCCTCTGCCTCTTGAGCACTGGGATTAATATTATCACAGTGTTTTCTGATAATACTCAGCCCTTCCTCTAACTCATTACAGATCTACCTCCCTTCCCTACCAACCTGACTTAGCATTTTTTCTTTTTTTCACCCATTAACTCCAATTTGTGGTGCCCAAACATTCTTGGATATGTGGGCTTCCACTGGAGTACAGTTAACTTACATGCATCTATACTCTAAAAGAAAACTGACCTTCTCTCAGTAGCTATCAGCTAGCAATAGTGCCTCAGCTAAGGGTGGGATATCATGTACATCTCCCCTCTCCATTCTAAGGTTTGGTCTGGCTTGATCTTGGATGTGCTTGTGCGTGCTAACACAATCATAAGTTCACGTGTCTGGCTGCCATGCTGAGTCTAGAGGACTGTTTCTTTGTATCCATTCACTACATCTAGTTTTTATAGTCTCTCCTTCCTCTCTGACACAGTAACCTCTGTTCCTTGGGGGGAGAGGATGTTATTCAGATGTCTAATTTGGGCATTCGCATTCCACAGTCAAACTGGTGCTGACTAGAGCCATCATCCCTACTGGCTAACTGTCACAGAGCTGGAAGGTGCCATGTACACTACTGGGGGGTCATCAAACTCAACCATCTATGAATCTATAAACTATGAGAACCTCTGGTCTGACAAGACATACCCGCTTGTGCAATGGTAGCACAAATGTCATGGGAGTAACAGGCTACTCTCTGACTGGACTTAAGTCCCACTATGAAAGATGAAACCCACATTTGGCATCATTGTAGGGCCAAGAACCTCTGGCTAGACATGTCATAGGCCCTAGGCTGCTAAAGGACATAGTACTTGACCAACTACTACTGACTAATCTTTATACTTACAGATTATAGTATATCTCAGTCCTTGTAAGAGAAGCTTCTATTTATAGTAGAGGGTGATTAACATAGATACCCACAACTTGCTGAAGTGCAGGAGACAAGAGACCGTGAATTGTTATTTTATGCTTAAGAGAGTCCATTTAGGAAAGGGCTTGAATGTTAAATAAAAGTTATATGTGAGAAATACCCCTGTTGCACTAGAAATGAATTTCTCAAGGATGGCAGAAACTACAAAAGAAATGGTTGAAAAACATGATTAAGCCAAATGGTTCTGTACAGTAAGAGTCTCCATGAAGTATAAAGAAGACACAGAGGCACTTAACCAGACTGCAAAATAAGGAAGTCACATAAGGAAGACATAGAATGGACAATGGTAACTGAACAGCGGTGTTTTAAATAGGCAAATGAGCAGGATAGAAAACAATGTAAACTCATACCTTAGCAAGGGGCTAGAAAAGAGAATATTTCAGTAACATGTCTTCATGAACCCACCAATGCCCATGTGTGAATGACTTACCAACTCATTCAGGGGGTGCAGATTTGTATCCATAGAGACAACCCGAAATTTGACTGGGCAAAAAGAGAGAGAGAAAGAGAATTTCCCAGTGAGTTCCAGAGACCCAGGCTTTTTCTGTGCCATGTTGATGACTTCTTAATTTCGTTGCCAATGATGGCTTCATACCTGACTGTCCTGGTTTGTACATGGGTTTGTCTGTCTGGACAAAGACAACACTTTCTTGGTTCTTCACCATCACCACATTATTTTTGCTGAATTCATGTTTTGGTCCTTTGACATGGACAGAGAGGGACACCTTCTCATGAGAAGTTGGGACCCTGGGGAGCTGAGAATGAGAGGAACACAAGACCCTTCACCATCTGACCCTTTGGAGTTCTTAGATTGCTTTTTTTTTTAACCTCCTCTCTTTCCATGCCACAGGAAGGAGGTGGGGGAGACCAGTTTCTGTTTACATATTATGTGGAGGAGGGTACATCAGAAAAAAGGTATGGAAAGAAAACACAAATTTTCATGAGTCAATGGAAACATCAAAGATGCAGCTATTTTTATGGAGTAAACATAATCTTGATTGGAAAATTAGATCTAACTCTGAAACTGTGGTAGAGTGAAAAACTAATATATTAATGGTGGTAGGAATTGTGTCTTTTGTGTCTTGAGGATCAGTCCAAAAGAAGAAGCTCAGCACTTATTCAGGATATCAATTACACAAAGGAGATGTGGTCCTGATTAGTTGGAGTGCTACTTGAAACTTATAACATATGAGTGGGAAGTATTATGAAGTGGCAAAACCCTTCTTTCTCTGGGTGGTAGGATTTTTGAGGGACTTGAATTGGAAAGTAGCATATGTACAAGTATTGGCTCTTCCCATGTTGGGGTGGGATGATCTATGCTATTTGTTTATTTGGTAAATGTTCTAGGTTTCTGTTGTTTTGAAGCAGTAGATGTGTTTTAGAAATATGTTAGTATATGCATATCTGTAAACACGTACATAAATATAGAAAACAAATTGGGACGGTGTCTAGTACTCACAGTGACAGAGATGCAGTGGAACAAGTCCTTGTCAACCGTAAGCTCATTGAACAGATTTCTGTTTCCCCACCTAAACTGCAAGGAGGCTTTAACAGTCACTGGTTCATTCAGGTGGTATAGATGGAGGCAGATTTTTTCAGGGGTCTCAGTGAGGAGCTGGGAAGGGACCAGCACCATAAACTTCCTGGCAAGGAAAGAGTTCAGGCCAGCTGAGAATAGATATCATTGTTCATGACTGTTGTTTCATCACAATAATCATTACCATCCACGTTTCTATAGCTTGAGGTGGCAGGTTGACAGCATGATACAGCAGAGAGGTCAGACAATTATCAGTTTTTATAATATCTCAGCTTTCAGCAGTGATATCCATCAAGGCAGGTTCAAATGGCCTGTACTCCCTTCACTTAAGCAGCTAACATTCATGCTCTAGAAGGGTTTTTAATTTTTTAAAATGAAAACATGGGAGGAATAATTATCCTTTCTGTAAAACTTATCAAGGTTGTTCTTAATGACCACTCTTAATTCTTGAAAAATAGCTCAGTACCATGTTCTTATTTTTAGGTACTCTTAAACCTAAGATTTATAAGTGACTGTGCAACTCAGAGTTGCACAATTCACATATATTACACTTGAGCAAGTGCCAAAGACTGTCTGTAGGAATCATTCTCTACTTTTTTCTGGAATTCGAATTTTTCTACCCAACTAGCCCAAAATCTAGCCTGTCACTACTACATCACATAATGAAAAAAATCACCACTTTAATTTTATTTTTCTGATTAAAAATGGCAAGAAAAGTCACTCAACAATATAATTCTGATAATGTGGTTATTTGGAACCAAATAGTGAGTTCTACCCGTAGCTTAGTATAAGTTCTTTGATCCTAACAAGGGTGTTGCTTTAGGACACAAACATTCATAGAGTTCTGGTGTGCCTGAAGTCTCACCTGTCCCAAGGTTAAACTGTAGGCTACACATTTCCAACCAAGAGTGCCAACAATGTAAATTCTTACTTTCAAAGTGATTAAATGATTTCAACATGTAAGGATGTCTCTGACCAATGGATTTTAGATATTACTGGTACGGTCATAAGAGAAATGTTATTCTAAATCATATCGCAGTAGTATAGTAACACTGATTGCTGAATAATTGAAAAAATCACATAGAATCATGGAAAGCATACATACAGTTATTATTTGTTAATTAAAAAGCATAGAGAGAGGTTTGTGGGAGAAGGGACTGTGAAAGGAGATTGGTGGTTTTGGATTGGAAGAGGAACAATACGGAAGAGGGCCTTGGAGGTACTCACGGTTGTGCATAGAGTGAAGAAGCAGAATGCAGGAAGGCAAGAAGAACTGGAATAAGACATTGCAGAGTCTGTCTGCCCTTCCACATGGTGTAGGAAGAAAGGACAAGAGGACCGTGCCTCTGGTGTCCTCTTCCCTGATACCGTTTCCAGATGCTCACTGATACACAGCATTTTATTTATGGGTGCCCTGTATAATCAGGAAGCTCCACCCCAGGTATCCAAACAGACAAGAAAAGTTTTTTTTTTTTTGCTAGTGTCACTGTATTCAGTGGTGGCCCCAGTACAACTCAAATAAATTGCAACAGTCTCAGGAAAGGTGCCAGAGTAGTTGTGGATGGTGTTGGCAAAAGGTCAAGGTCATAGACTCTACTTACTTTGAATCAGAGCAGACCTTCACAGTCTTAATACTACTGACCAGTAAATCTTTGCAGCAGGTTGTTGTGCTATGATTGTGTGACATTTGCTATCTCACTGCTTCTAGTCACCTGGAATCTAGCATTACTCCCTGGGATGGGACACCTCAGCTTCTCTTTCCTCATTTGAGAGTCACTAGAGTAGTCCAGGCTAGAGATTTTCAGTTTTTCTGTCTCTGGTCATTCAAGTATCTGCTTTTATGGGTCTTATGTGTAAAGAGGGGACTGTGGATTCCTCTAAAGTTCCAAAACTCACATACTACATGTCACTGTGCCTACTTTGTTAGAAGTTCACAAACCTCATCTAGAGGTACAGTTGAGAAGTCTTAACTTCACGATCTACGGAGAAGCCAAATATAATCTGTGCAACTAAAGGTGATGGCTTTGAATGTTAAGGTGATCAGTATTGGGGATGCAACTCAGTTCCTTTGGAATGGCATTACAGTATGAGTTGGGAAACACATTAGCATTTCTATTCTAGATCCTGGGGCTGTTTAGTTTTCAAAGAGCTATGACAGTGGCTTGAGAGGAAGGTATAGCATAAGCTAAATAAACTATAATCTTGAATCATTAAGTAAAGAGAGAGAATATGCTAAAAGGGAATGTAGGGCAAGCATGTAAAGCCGGAAAGAGAGATAAAACTTCTGTATTTCATCGATTGACATATGAACTCCAATTAATCAGTAGGAAGCCCAATCAGCTCCTGAACTGGTCCTTTTTCTCAAAATCCCACTGAAACAATAATCAGACTTTCCCATCTTCACTCCCTGCTCTTTATTTTTGAGCATGACAACGAATGGCCTTACATTCTTGTAAGATAATGCTAGAAGCAACACATACAAAACCATTGACAGGTGCTGATAATGCAGGATAACATCAGATGGCAGGGCCCATCTGAGACAGTGCATAACTCAGGCTCAGAACTCACAGATTGTCTCTATAACAATAAACGGCACACTTGTTGAGGGTATAGGTAATTGTTTATTGTAGAAATTACAAGAGAAAACGGGCAACTCAGATGAGTCAAGTAGCTTTCGCTACTAAACTGGAAGCCGAAAAGAGGGCAAGAGGCTCTGCTGCTTGGTCTTTTATTCCCACCTCCGTACACGCCTCTAGCCACGCCCAAAAGTGGGCCCTGGCTAGCGGCGTAGTTCACTGCCCTTTGATTACTATATCCGTATACGTCTCTAGTCATGCCCAAAGTGGTTGTGGTTAGTGGCACGGTTCCACCCTTTCGTTACCACATCTGTATGCACCTCTAGAGTGCCACGTGGCTAATGGCACAGTCCCAAGTTTCCTCCTACAATTCCCCTTTTAGTCTAAAGAATATATTTAAACTTAAAACAAAAGTAACTTGTGTTAATGAACAAAATGTCTCAAACATCTATGCCATCTAAACCTAAGCTTATCTGAAAGAAATACCGAAGTCTGAATACCTCCTTCCAATCCCAACTCTAAAATAATTGAAAACTGACACTAACAGGTGTAAACTATCCTACAATATCAATAGTAGGGAGAGGGGGAGTGGAATTTTCAAAACTACTTCCTGCTGAGATAGGAGGATGACAATCTCATGGGGACCTGTGAGAAGAAAAATGTTAGTGTAATAAGATCTTAAGTAGAATAGACAGTCTCTGTTTGGCAGGAGATGCTTGATTGAAGTTCCTGACTGGAGTTCTAGTGTTGATTGAAGCTCTCGTCTGAAGCTCTGGCCAGATTGTAAAAGGTGCTCTGTATCAGTTCCTTGGTCTGGAGTTGTGTTGAGTGATGTAGTTCCAAGCCGGTTTCAGGATGGTGCTTGTCAGGTGGAGTCGATGATATGGGGCAGTTTAGATGCATCCAGTCGAATCAGGTGGAGTCGATAAAGTAGAGCCCCATTTTCTTTCCGAAGTGGTTGAAGATTGCTGTTAGGAAATCCCTTGTTCTCTGGAAAATTCAAACACTAATGTTAACAAAGAAAATTTTAACTTTTATATATACTGGTAAGGTGACAATAGGGAAGATGGTAAACATGGAGATTAGACATTTCAGAAAAAGAAATCCACAGATGACAGTCTCTAATTTTGTTTTCTTTTGTCTTATACCAATAGCTCTTTGATATAATACAGAAATTTTGAATTTTATTTAAACAATATGCTTGAATTTAGAGTAGGAGAGGCAATCCAAATCCAAAGCCAGCTTCAGTTAAATGAATGAGGACTAAAGCATATTAAGAAACAAAGAGAAATGGGTATTATAAAAAACAATATAGAGAAATTTAGACTTTGATACACCACACAGTGAGCTATTGTTTATTTGATGGTCCTCAGGGTAGCTAATCATTCTTCTTTAGGTATCCATATGTCTAGTAATTTTTTGCTGAGTTTTCCTATGAAGACAAAAACCAAAAACACTTCTTTTTTCTTTTATGAGGTCACCTTACCCATGGTAGAATATGACCTTGTAGATGAACTGTCATCTTTCCTCCTCCTGAGGTGTCTTCTGTTTGGATTGAATCTTCATTAATTTTGATGGAACCCAAAGCTTTTCTTCTCCTGTGGAAACAAAAGCAAAACCCCTTCCCCAACGTAACACATATCCTGGTTTTCAGACTGAGGTCACAACATCATTAAAATACACCGGTTGGTTTAGTTTAGAAGTTTTCTTTGTAGTCCAGTGTCTTTTGGTAGTAGTTTGTCCTTTATTAGCATTAAGAGAATTCAATGTTAGTAAAGTATTATGTAACCTGTGTTTAGGTGTCTTTGTTCCCCCTGGCTGTTTATGAAGCATTTCTTTTAAGGTTTGGTTAGATCTTTCAACCACTGCTTGTCCTGTAGGATTGTAAGGTATACCAGTTACATGTTTCATATTATAATATTTGAGAAACTGTTCCAATTTACTGGAGACATGCTGGAGCATTGTCAGGTATACCCATAATAGCCATCACCTCTAAGAGGTGTATAATAACAGAATCAGCCTTTTTGGAGTTGAGGGCAGTAGCCCATTGGGAGCCTGAGAACATGTCTATGGTATGGTGTATATACTTCAAACTGCCAAATTCTGGAAAGTGAAGAACATCCATCTGCCAAAGTGCATTCCTGCAAATATCTTTGGAATTACAATCTGTTGGTAACGGAGTTTGATTGTAGAATGAGCAGGTGGGGCAATTTCTTACTATTTCCTTGGCTTGTTGCCAGGTGATAGAAAAGTCCTTCTTTAAACCTTTGCTGTAAACATGGTGCTTCTTATGAAATTCTGAAACTTCCAACACACTTCCTATCAATAAACGATCAATCTCATCATTGCCTTGCACCAGAGGACCTGGCAGACCTGTATGGGATCTGATATGTGTTATATATATAGGACGAGTCCTGCTTCTGATGGTTTCCTGTAATTGTAAAAACAATGAGGTTAATTTAGAGCCATCATGAACAAATTCGATGTCTCAATGTGCAAGACAACTCTCTCTGCATACTGAAAATCCGTGACTATATTGAGAGGCTCTGTAAAGTCTTTAAGTACCATGAGAATGGCATACAACTCTGCCTTTTGTATAGATTTGTAAGGGCTTCGAACTACTTTACTTATAGTTCCTGATTTATACCCTGCCTTACCTGATTTGTTTGCGTCCGTGTAGAAGGTAAGAACTCTAGAAATAGGTGTTTGTCTCATGATAGGCCGAAGAATCCAAATTGTTTTCTTTATGAATTTGATTCTCTCTGTTTTGGGATAGTTGTTATTAATGGTTCCTAAAAAGTTATTGTAAGATATTTGCCAATACTCATTAATTATCCTTCCATAAGGAGGAAATTTCCTCATTAGTCAAAGGTACAATAATTTCTGCTGGGTCTTTTCCAGTCAGTTGACGAAACCTTAATTTACCTTTTAACAACAGATGACTTCTTGATAGAGAACAGACATGCTACAATGATTTACTTGAGCTTTTCCAGTCAGGAAAAAATGTGGTACAGGTTTGAGTCTTGAAAAAGCATATGAAGAGGCCTGGAGACCAGAAGAGCATCTGCACATCCGAAGTGGAAGTCTTTCATTCGAATAATGATGCTGCAATAAAGCTAAGCTTAACTATAAGAGGGCCTATGAAAGTAACTTGGAGTATAACCTAAAATGATTTAAATAATGAAATATTTTAGCTCGATAGCTTATGTGGTTGTTTGACAGGATGACTAGAAGCCTAGATACCCCACTTGATCACTGGTGCAGTTGCCTAGATATCCTGTGATGGTGTTCCAAAACGAGAGACTAGGAGTGAGGCAGACTCCCTGGTAGGCAGACAGATAGGGAGATGGGTTATGGCTAGGTAATAAAGGTGGCAAACCTCCAAGGTGACTGGTACTGTGGTGGTTGAATAAGAATGGACCCCCATAGGCTCATATATTGGAGTACTTAGTCACAAGGGAGCGGAACTATTTGAAAAGATTAGAAAGTGTGGACTTGTTGGGGGAGATGTGACACTGGGAGTGGGTTTGAGGTTTCAAAAGTCCATGCCACCAGAATCTCTCTCTCTCTCTCTCTCTCTCTCTCTCTCTCTCTCTCTCTCTCTCTTTCTCTCTGCCTGTGGATCGGGATGTAGCTCTCAGCTACTTCTCCAGCACCATGCCTCATGAATGTGGCCATGTTCCCTGCCATGATGATAATGGACTAAACCTCTGAAACTATAAGCAAGAAATTGGTAC